TCCTGACTCCAGGGCCAGCACTCTATCCACTGCGCCACCTAGCTGCCCCCGAAAGTCCCATTTTTTTTACACCAATATTTTATAGGTGTTGTATTGTCTGTGAGACATGCACCATTAAAATCGACTATCATTTAGAAAACAGTTGAGAGGTACATGGTAGGTGTGAGCAATTCATTACAAATTGATTTAACTTCACTCCGGCAGCCTCTTGGTTCTTTGCAAACAGCAACTCCTGCATAGCCTAAAGCATTCTAAAAGAAGTGTGACCTTTGTCCCAAATCCATCTGGCCATATGACCCTATGTAACATACTGGTCTCTCTCTGACTTTTCTAGACCCCATAAACAAGGCCATTAAGGTTGGTCCTGGGACCAAGGGAATATCATACTTAATGGATTGTTCCCTTACCACCCTCTAGCATTTTCATCTGGCTAAAATGAGTATCAAGCAGCTCTTAGGTATATTTGGAGGAGTCATGGAGGTGCAAAAAAAACCCCATACAACTTGGTACAGAGCAGGCGAATACATGGGAAAGAGGAAGGTGGAGCTTCATAACAAGGCAACAACCCCAGCCCCTCTTACCTTGTTTCTAAACTGAGTTTTATATACAAAACTTGGTGGTGTTTGTGGTTGTCTTAGCACTAGACACTCCTGTTCCCCTGTGCCCCTCTCCAATCAGATCCTGCTGCACTGGGGCCAGTTATCTGAGATTCCTTACAAACTGTAAATTCCTTGATTACCAAGTGAGGCTTTCCAATGCTCAGTTTCTGGAGAAGTCATCCTAATCTGACTTTGACCCAGGAACAGCTCTGCCCCAAGACACCTTATATTAATAGACTTTTAATTAATTAATAGATTTGTTTGTTGAATTGTATGTGACAAATGAAATTATAAAGCAGGTACCATTATACCTTTTTATAGCATGAAAATCTGCTATATATTTTAGAACACAGTCCACTAGTGCCTTGAGGAACTCAAAGTACTTTTCTGTTTTGTTTTCATCCTCATTGTAAGGAATGATACTAACAAGAAAATTGAGGTACCGATAGGTTATGTATTTCTGATGGAACCTTGGTGTGACTAACACCTTAATACACTAATGGTTTACTGACTTCTTACAAGAGATGACAAACCTGTTCCTTACTCTACTCTTGATATGTTTGCAAGAAGCAGATAATTCAGAATTTCAGAAATTATTTTATTAAAAATCAGAACAAACATTAAGGCACAGTAATACATCAAATTTTCAAGTAATGAAAATTCTTTGTTCTCAAATCAAACTTTCAATGAAGACATCATTCACTCTTTAATTACAAAAATATCATATTATTAAATGTTATCCCCAGCTTAACTTCATTCTCAAATGCATTTCCCCTAATTTTAGAGGCAGTTTTGCCCTCACATGTTTAAAAACATTCCCTTAAAAAAAACCTCGTTTTACTATACATGTGCATTTAATATTTTTAGAACTTTAATTAAGTGGATAAATTAACTCTTTAATTTAAGGCTTACTGTGTTTTCTATTGCTACTTGGTTGGTCTTGATTACAGAAAGGAACCAGAAGCATTAATTTAATAATCTAGTATAACATTCTCCAACTATACAGTTAACTGTAATCTAGTACAACAGACCAAAATTCCTTCAAGATAAAAGGTATAAAATTATGAACCTCATATGCATATTTATATACAAGGTCTTGACATTACAGTGGTACAAAAATACAGCAAATACTATACATCAATCAGCAACAACTTTCTGTATTACAGAGGAAATATTCTGGGTCCCTATAAGGCTATATTCTTGAAAGCTATTTGCACTAACAGTTAAGTCTTAGCAGATTCTGTCCACCAATCTGTTTAATAATAACGTCATGTTTCTTAGAGTTTTTGATCAACTAAGTGAACATGCTGCCCTTTAGATAAAACATACATTACTCTAACTCAAAGCAACAGATTATCACTTTAAAGATAAAAGAAAAAGGTGTACATTTAATAAAATCCAAGATGGTTCTAAATGCTTTGTATGGAAAGAGGCAGTCAGATAGGACAGAATACAAGGTTCCATATTACTCTTCTTCATATTCTCTTCAACAGGCAGTTATATAAATCAACAGACTGGTTGAATAGTAAGTTATTCTCCTTTTACCTGATCAAAAAGTGCTATCTTGGGAGTTTAAAAGAAGGTTCTATCCTATCTCATAAGGCACAGACTGAAACAGCCATAGGCAACAGCAACTAAAACAGTTATCAACAGCCCTAACATTTATGACAACCCTACGCAGAGACTCTCCTTAAACTGCTTCATTATAAGCTATAACCTATAATCCTCACTCCAACTAACTTTCAGTGTGAGAGCTATGAAGCCCCCTAAGTATGAAGCTACTTGGGAGCCCCTAAAGAAATCCTCAGCCCCATTACACTGAGGATGATGAATGCAGGAGTCTATGTCACAAATCTTACAGCACACCAATGCCAATAATTATGTGTATTTGCTACTGCACCACTAACCAGCAACATCTCCTTAAAAATATAAACTCTTATATTACATATCTAAAATTACATCCCAATGGAGGGGAGGGGAAAGAGAGAGATATTGCTTTCTCTGAGGGTGGGGAAAAAAAGTTTTTGAGTCAGAAAATTTCTTAAATGATTTTGATTACAGAAGGAAACATATGTATTCTTACAAACTTTAAGGTAGGAAAGAGGTCAGGTTGATTCAGAGGTAGTTTTCCCTATTATTCACAATCACCATCATCATTACCACCACCTTGTAGCTATCACAGCCAGATAACCCAGAACACTACATTTCTAAATTCCACTAGGATACTACAACAGAGTTATTTCCATTCCACCCCCACCTCCCCCAGGGCTGAAAGGTGTTAAATGTAAAGTGCTAGGAACCAGAAAGTAGAAACTCATCTCAGTTCTTTGAATAAGGGTAATTTCTGCGACAAGCATTTTTGTCCTATGCACATCTAATTGTGCTTAATACAAACACTTGAATCTAACACATTTACATATGGATCATTTTTGTGCTGGACAATTTTGTCCTATGCATGGTGGAAAGTAAAGTAAGCAAAGTTTACATCCCTGTTTATTATTTTTCTAAGACCTATGTCCCAACATAATGGCATGCCTCCACCAATGCTTTTAAGGGTATTTAAAATATCTGGCCTATATTCATGTGAAGACCTTTCATTTTCAAAAGGCTTGTTTAAAAAAAAAAAAGATTTGTTGAATATAAGAGGTCAACATTTTTGAAATATGTTACTAAATAGACATAGATTACAAACATAACAGAATTAATTCTCCTTATAAACATGCTTGAAAGTAGTAAGTAAAAGGATTTAAGTGAATTAGTGAAAGGAAAGGTAAATTCTTCATCTTCCCACAAAATTCCAGAAATATTTGCTAGTTAAGATTCTTAAAGCTAATTTTACCTATATTTTCTTAAATAACTTCTAACCTCACCAGGTCAATGCAGCTCCTTCAAAAGATAAACAGATCAGGTCACAATACTTTCAATCTAAATGTCAATTAAAGCCTTCTCCTTCTTTGGTTATAAAAGCAGCATTAATAACATTTGCAGATGATTCACATTTTCATCACACTATAAACTCACTTCATCTTAATGTTTAGAACATTTGATATTTTATAAAGATATTAAAACAAAGTGTGAAGTTATGCATTAGAATGTAAAGTTATAAATATATGATATAAAAACTGACATATAAAAATGTTGAGGATGGAATAAGAAGGCTTTAACACTTAGAAAGTTAACAATGATAAATTCAGTAGAGTGTCACAAAACATGTCAAGGTTATGGACAAAATGAGGTTGCTCTTTCCTTGGAAACTCAAGCATATTCGACTAACTGGCTGTTAGAAAGTCACAGCAGTACGCTACATTCCTTCCTCACACACATAAGAAGGTATTTCAAGTGGCCAACGTGGCTAACTAGGGCTCTCCACATACTAATTTACATAATGACAACAACAGCTGAGTGATCTTCTAGGGATGGCATGACTAACTTTGGAAATCCAAATGTAAGCAGAGACAGAATTTTCACCTCTTCACACCAGAGAGATGGCATAATGCTTGTACCATCCCCAGACTTAAAAAACAAAACTGAGATAAGCATTTTTATGCTAGTAGAAATGCTTATAAAGATTATCTTTTGTTTTAAACAAAAGAGCAAAATCAAGAAATGTATAAACATACTTGCACTTCAAATTTACCCATTCTTAATATAGAATCATTTTTATACATAAAAAAAGAAAAATATCAAATAATAAAGCATAAACCCAAGAGAACAAAATATGGTTGTGCAATACCACAGAAGACTCGCATTCCTTCTCAAAGTATAGAGAATGAGTATTTGTATTAAAGTTAAAAAAAATAAATAGCTATCTTGAAATCCCAAACTTTTACTCCCAAGAAAAGAGTTTCAAAAGAGTGCATACGTAATATCCACTAGGCAAGGACCTATTTTATGCACTTTTTATATGTAATACTTTAAATTGCTCCCAGAACTAGAGCAAACTAATTGACACTTAAGACAACATTCAAGAGTCACCTTTAAAAAAATTACAAATTCCTTCCCAATACCAGAGAATTTCATATTAATATGTATTTCTTCCATGATAACATAACAAAAAAAAATAATCAGACAACAAGCATTTATTAAGCGCCTTATGTGTGCCAGGCACTTTGTTAGGCGCTATGGATTTAAGGACCAAAAAAGCTAACAGTCCCTGCCCTCAAAGAGTTTACATTCTATCAGAGGAAACATCCCCCCCAATATATATAAATACATACATATATATGTACATATATATATACATATATACACACACACACACATATAGACATGCACACACACACACATATACACATACACACACACACACACACACACACACACACACACACACACACACACACACACACACACACACACACAGAGAAGAGATACCCGGTTATTTAGGGGGAAGGCACTAGATGCTGGGTGGGACAGATGACCAGGAAAGGCCTTCTGTAGCAGGTGCTGCTTGAGCTCAGTCTTGAAGAAAACCAGGTACTGTACGAGGTGGAGATGACTGGAGGTAGACATGCATTCCAGATATGGGGGACAGATCAATGGTACAGCACAGAAGCAGGAGATGGGAGTATCATGTACTCAAGACAAAAAGACCAGACGGCTGGACACTAATAATACATATAAATATATATGCACAGCTGGTGAAGATTTCTTAGAGCTTGGGTAAGAATGATTAACCAGGCTTCATTTATGCAGGCTCTAATTACATTATCTTTTCTGAAGATAACATTCTTTCTGACATTTCATATTTGGTCATCATTATTTCCTGAATGAAAGAAGGAATATTTCAATATTTACTATTTCTAATAGAATCCTATCCAAATTGTAACTTAGTTTCAACCTCTGAAATTCCATTATAAAGCATCCAGGTGGCTAATATACATACTGCTTCGTGAGACCATACAGTTCTTGCACGCCAACAATTTATAACACATCATCAGAAAAATTCAGAGAACTTAAGGGATTTTTTTCCTCACTGAAGAGATGGAGTGGTATATTCACTAAGAAACTATAGTAACCATGCAACCATGATCAAATCCTTGAAATAAGTATATTAAACTCCTTTTATTTTTACCAGAATTTATCTTCTAGGGGTTTTGGCTGCCATTCCATCTGCAATCATTTTCAAACTTTCTCTAATTTTCCTTTCTACAGTTCAGATTGTGTGTGCACATGGCAGCTCTAGATATAGAAAAAATAGATCTAACTCTATGTAAAAATATAATTTACCTCATCTGAGTCCACTAACACTGGAAGAGCCCTGAAACAGAGAAAAAGATTAGAATCACAATGCGATCATAAATCAAGACTCTCCTAGAGTCCAACTACAGGAGGGAGATGAGATTCCTTCTGCTTCATCCCAGAGGCCTAAGAGGCTTATTTCAGTTAAACAAAAGGGTTAAAGTGGAATGTTCTATGTTTTGATGTAGTGGTTTCCTGGGTATGAGTGGTCTTCAAACAGAGGACATGGAGATATCATAGAGAGGATTCATGCTTCAGGTACGTGCTGGACTATCTGAAGCCTAAGGCTCAATTTGAGATCAATCTCTAAGATGTCTGAAGTAAAAATTAACCTACATGACCATTTAGTTAATGCTGAAATTATTATGTCACCACATCACTCTATTCTGATGTTTTTACTCTGGTAAGGGAGTAGAAAAGACTAATAATAGTAGCTCCCATATTTCTAATATGCTTCAAGTAATTTGATCATAATAAACCTAATAGTAAACAGGGTGTGCATGAAGTTGTGTTTAGGGAGACAGTAGGAGAATTGGATGGTGGTATATCACCACTCTTGACTTAAAATGAAAAAAGTTTTTTTCCAGGAAAAATCTGTACGTAGAAGTAGAAATGCTGGCATGACTATTTCTGTAAGTCAGAATGGAATGAGAACTAAGTGATGTGCAAAGTGATAAATTTAGAGGAAGAAAAAGACCAGGTACCTTCTTTTTGCCACAGCACCACCATACTCACTAGCACAATGTAAGGAGTGTTGTGCTAGTGTTATAAAGAGATATCATGAATTGCTTGGCCCTGGGATTAATGGAAAACTGTAAAGTCTGGAGAGTTCCCACAAACACTACCTCTGCTGCCCCACTCTTTTTTATCATCAGCACAAAATCCAGTAATGCCTACATCTCAACAGCTTCATTACAATTCTCCACCATTCATTCTCCTATGACTCTCTCTTACAACTGGCCAAAACAAGACCCCAGGCATCTCAAGAATCATTCTGGCTTTCGTGTTCCTTTCCTTCTGGCCTCATAAATAAATTCAGATAACCTAGAAACAGCAGAAATTGCTGAGATCCTACTCCACCTTTAAGTTTTCATAAAATCACTGAATGGCTAGGAAGGACTGGACCATAAAGACCTCGGCATTCCAGACTGCCTGGAATCAGTTTAATCCATGGATGGGGGCTCCTACCAAAAATTTAAGTGTTGTCATCAAGAAGGGACTATTATTATGTAAACAGGGCATATGAGAAAAGAATTACATAATGAAAATCTGAGGCCCAGCCCTTTAAGCCATCCTAAGTGAAGCAAGAGAGGATATTTACATGTCTGTGAATGAAGAAGGAATATTTTCTTCTACCCACTTCAAATCTTCATCCTGAAAAAAGGAGAAATATTACTAAATACTATTTATCAGTAGCAGGTCAAACACTTTATCTTCACAGAGTTTATCGTACACAATATCTTTACCTAAACCTTTTTGGTAAGGTATTCCTTTAAACTTCATGATTTAATCCTAGATCATATTTAGCAACTGTTTGGTTTAAAAAACCTTTAATATGATGCCCAAAATGCATGGCAAAGCCAGCACAGATGCAAGATTCATGATAATGAGAGGTTTTAACTGTGTGGCTATCTACTAGGTATGTCTCTGATAAATGTATAGGATCTGATAAATTCTTGACCTGCCTTCATGACAATTTCATCATTCAGAAAGTAGAGGAAAAAAACAAAGGGAGGAATTTATTGGAGAAATTAAGCAATGGGAACCTTAAGAGGAGCTGTCTATGCCGAAGATCAAAAGAGATTAGCAAAGGAATGCTGGCCATAGTCTGACAGATACTTATAAAATGATAGATTTCAAAGACAGATTCAATAGGATCCCATGGACCAAATCTCTAAAAGAGAAATGCTTTCAAAGGGAATGTGTCTTTTAGGAATTCATTTTGATTTCACATTCATAAATTTTTCTGTTGGGGAAGAAAGAACAAAGTATCTGAACTAAAAAGAGGCTAAGAGTTGCACAGGGACCACAATGACAGGCTCAGATTTAAAAACAACATGCAGAAGAGATGAAAGAAATAGCAGGTAATTGAAGACCAATCTAAGAGCGGCACAGTCTTGCAAGAGTAACATCAACAATATTAAAGCTTAGTATGAACTGTGGCTGATAATAAATAGCAAAACTACAAAAAAAGACATCTTAGATTTGTTTGGGCAACAAGTTAACCAAGAGCAGGATATTTCCATGGCTTCAGATAACTGTAATGGACAGTGAAGAATGAACTACTTAACTACTTTGCTTCTACTTTCTCTACTAAGAAAATGATTTTCAGATTTGGAAAGACAAGTGATTAACAGGGAACTGAACCCAAGTTAAGTAAAAGAACAAGGAGACAGAACCTAACTGCCCTAGATGAGTTCAAGCAACTAGCCAGGATGAATTCCATTGTAGGGTGCTGACAACTTATGGATCTGATTGATGACGAGCCACTGTCTTATCACTTCTGATCAATCACAGAAAACAACAGATGTGTCACAAGAGCAGCATGACACAGGAAGAACCCCACACTATGATTAGAATTAAGAGGGTGTAAAGATAAATCCTGGCTCTGCATTTACTACCTGTGTGACCCAGGTCAAGTCACTGAAGCTCACTGGAGCTGTTGCCCATCTGCATGAAAAGTGGTGGTTAGTCTAGATAATTTCCAAAGTCTAAAATGCTATAAGCAGAAATGTGATGATTATTGAGCCATAAGAATAAGCTGAACCAAACTGACCTTATTTCTTTATTTGACAGTTACTACACACTGGTCATAAGTGGCATGTCCTATATGGTATATAGGTCCTATACACCATTACCTGGATTTTAACAAAGCATTCAACAACATCTCTTAAGACAATATATCAAGAATAAGACTGAGAGTTGTGAATTAGATGACAGTAAAGTTAGGTAAAGTTGGGTCAACAGGCAGATCCAAAGAATGATAATTCTTTAGGATCAACATCAAGGGGGAGGGACAATTCTAGTGTAGTGCTATAGGTCACTTTATCTTTGACTCTGTTCCATTCAACATGTGCATCAATGACACAGTTAGAGATATAAATGGAATGCTCATCAAATTTGCTAAGACATGCAGCTGGGAGGGACCTTTAATATACTGGTTGAAAGAACTAGACCCCAAAAAATCTCAACAAGCTGGAATAATAAACTAAATCTAGGAATAGGAAATTAATATAAATAAGTATGAAGTCTTACACTTAAGTTTAAAAAACTGCACAAGTAGACACAGCTAGGTAGTTTGTCTGAAAAAAATATAGAGGTTCAAAGAGATCAAATAAAGCGGAAAATGACCCACAGATACAAAAATATTTAAAGCAGCACTTTTGGTGGTAGCAAAGAATTGGAAACTAAGGAAGTACCCATCAACTGGGGTACAGCTGAATAAGTTATGGTACATGAATGCTGGACCATGATTGTGTTTTAAGAAATGATGAAGGGGACATTTTCAGAGAAATCCGGGAAGACCTGTATGAACTGCTGCAAAGTAAGTTGAGCAAAACCAGGAGAACAATTTATACAACAATAACAATACTGTAATTAATTATAATACTGTAACAATATTATAGCTGGTTACAATATTGTAACAATATTGTATTTGAAAGACTTAGGAACTTTGATCAATGCAATGCCCAACAAACTTGAGAAGACTCAATGCTGAAACATGCTGCCTGCATCCTGATGGAGAGGTGATGGGCTCAGAGTACGGAGTAAGATGTGTTCTTCTGGACACGGCCAATTCAGCAATTTGTTTTCTTGATGATACATGTTTATAATAGTGGTTTTACTTGTCTTGCTTTCTCAATAGGAGAAGTAAGAGGGGAGGTGAAAAAAAGAGAAGGTAGATCATTTTTAAAAAATAAAACTTAATTTTTTAAAAATATGGAGGCTTAGTAGATTGCAGGTTAAATACGAGTTAAGATAACAAAAAATGCTAACGAATTTCGTGCTAGATTAAGAATATCTAAAATCCTGGACTAAGGAAGTGACAACACTCTGACCTGCCGGTCACACCATATATCAAGTACTGTGTTCAGTTCTAGATGCCACATTTTAGGAAGAAAACTGACCAACCAGAAAATAGCCAGAAGATGGTGAAGGAACTTGAGGTCATACCACACAAGGAAGAGAACAAGAGGTGCTTAGCCTCAAGAGAAGATTTAGGGGGAACTAGATAGCTATCAACAAGTACCATGTGAAAGAGAGATTAGACTTTTTGCTTGGCCCTAGAGGGTAGAACTGGGAGCAAGGGGTAGAAGTGACAATGAGGTAGATACAAGCCTGGTGCAAGGAAAAACTTCCTAATAATTAGATCTATTTAAAAGTAGTATGTGCTGTCTCAAGAGGTAATGGGCTCCATCCCACTAGACTGGTTAGACTAGCTACCCTCTGATACTCCTTTAAAGACATTTATATTGCAATAATGATATTGACACACAGCTGATAACATCTTGCCTAATATAAGAAATCATCTTAGCTGACTTCAAAAATCTTAGGTAATGACACATTTTTAAATGCTTAGAATTTTTCAATCTTTGCTTAAAAATCTCAAATGATTACATATTATATGAGATATCTTCCATATCCTAAACCAAAATATCCTGGCTACTTTCTCTTCTTTTTTCTGTAAACACACACCCACATACACCCATACTCCTACCCCCACCCCCACAAAACTTAAATAACTGCTATTGAATGAAAGGGACATACATTTGCATCCTAACAAATACTAGAATGCTCCCACCTATTTTTATTTTTAAAAATTATACTTACAACACTATTAGAAGAAGCAGGTACAGGTGTTCCGTTGGAAACAGTTTTTGAAGCTCTTAGCTTTATGCCTTCAGCTGTAAAAGAAGAAAAACTATATATAAATTTTTACAAAGAGATAGCCTTTTTTGAAGCCACATACCTAATAGCTCAAAAAGAAAATGTAAAGAATTTCACGTGTGTGTTACACACACACACACACACACACACACACACACACACACACACACACGCACACATGGCTGTTTCAAAGAACCATATTCTATCCCTAAACTATTACATTTAGCCTATGGTTACACTAAATAAATCCCTGAGGTCTTAGATCTCCATGACAGGGCTAAACACTACATAAGGTAGCAAAAGTGTTCAGTTGACCAATGTGAACTAGTTTTAGATGTTTTTCTAATACTGTGTCACTGGCAGAGGAAAATGGATTGGTTTCACTTAGTAATCTTCTTTGCATCTTTTAGTAAAATCAAGTTTCCCAAGTTGCTAGTTTGAATCATAGGCTGGAGAAAAAAGTTTAACTGCCTTTTTCATGATTCCTTCTCTCTAACCACCAATCTCCAATAATTTAAAATTTGGCTAGAACTATATACTTCTATTTTAAAAAACCAAAAAGAAACAATAATGCCCACAGCATTCTGAGCATGATATTCAAGAATCAAAACAAATTTCCATAGATGCATAACTTTTTCGTTAGATAAAATGTAGATACTTGGGCCTAGTGCATGTGGGAGGTAGAAAACCAGCATGAATTATTAAAACTTTCTTCAGAATATTATTGTTTTTGGTCTTCCTAGCACCAGAATCTAGCACAAGGCCTTGTACCTAATAGAGACACCAAGTTACACATAATAAATGTATGTTGACCTGAAATGACTTGTACAGGTATCTTATATTTATGAACAGGTACTGATCTACACAGTGATTATAAACTAATATGCTACAAATGGGATTGGCTTCACACATAGGTTAAGCTATGCTGTATTTCAGTCTAGTGATTCCTGAAACCCTGTTACTCATGGTTTCATTCTATTGAGTTAAACAATTTATTTCTAAGAATGCACTTAAAATACAAATATCTTACATGCAACAATAAATGATGAGATACTCTTCTTGGTAGAGAGGCAGAATGTTGTGGAAACTATTAAATGTAATGGCTATGATTATTCTTGTGTAATTCTTTTTTCTTTGTTACAAGATGGGGGTAGGTATTGGGAGGTTTAAACAAGAAGCATCAGTAAAACATCAAAACAAATACATGTAGCTCCAAGCAGGTAGCACATTAAGACCCTAACATGTTATTGTGAATTATTTCATACAATCAATTTCATTCCTGAGTTACAGGAAACACACGGAGGGAAGCAGAGGAGTGTTTTTGTTTTGGGCGTTTGGGGGGGAAGATGTGAGGTGAAAGGAATAAAGAATATCAGAACACCACTGACAAACTTTGTTCTTACTTCAATATTGCCCACATTTCCCCTGACTATAAGACATAACTACAAGATGTTGAGACGTACCATTTTAAGTTGGTTAAACTACATTTTCCACAATATTTTTAGACATCTATGGAACAAAGTGAAGATAGGACAATATATAGATAAATGAATATCTACCAGGAAAAAAAACTAAGCATTATTAAACAAGAGAAACCAAAATAAGGTAGTAGGACAAAAATGAAAAAAGGAGAAAATTATATTGCTTTTCCAATTGTACTTCCTTTAAACTACTGAAGTTAGTGCTTTAATAAGAGCTGGAACAGAAAAGGCTAAAGTGTAAACATTAAAAGATGTTAACAGGAAAAACTTTCAAACAATGACTGGCAAAAGTAACAAAATCCATAAATACAAGGAAGTAGAAATTAACTTTATTTTGGTGGTTACTAGAACTTAAATAGCATAGAGAAGGAAAATGCCCAAGAAATCACAATGAAAAGTTTTAAGGAATAAGACCTACAAAGAAAAAGACTCAAGTCATTGTGAGTGATTTTTACAATACAATGGCTAGTCCAGAGGTTAATAAATGCTGCTGATAGCCTCTGAAAAAGTTCTATTAATCTAGAAAAACACTCTGAACAAATTTTGAATCCTAGAATATAAGGGCAAACATGTAAAAGTTTCAATTGCAATAAGACTGATCTCATATATTCTACCTACATTAAAACTATTCCCCCTCTGCCCCTCCCCCTTGCCATAAAGCATATCTAAGACAACTGTGTGGTGTTTGATATTTTTTTTAATACATAGGAATACTTTGCTTAGACTACCTTTTTAAAAATAAGATACAGCAATTGATCTGATTAAATAAGTATCATAAAAGACCACAAAACAAATAAACTTACCTAAATTTTCAGATACCACTGTGAATTCTTCAATTTCATCATCTGAATCATCTATTAAGGGTGTAAAAGCATATCTACACAAAAAGAGCAAAGAACAATGTGAATACTGTGCTTTTACTAGTTTATATCTATTCAAAACATTTTCTTGTTCAAAATGTTCTCAATATAAAAAACACTAGTCCTTTAAGAAAAGTTTCTTTTTTTAAAAAATAACTAACCTAAAAAATTAGAATAACCTAATAAGGTGTTAGAAAGTATAATCTTGTCCAGATTTATCCAGACACTGCTCTTTTTTAAAAAAGCACAGATGACTGAAGAGGAATTGGAAATTAATTTGCTGATTTAAGAAATCAGGTGCTGGACTACTAGGTTTCTGGTACTTTTCCCAGGAAATGATAGTGAAAAAGCATCACTTTTCAACTAGGAAAAAAAAGTTTTATGAGCCCTGTCATATTAAGCTGGTATAATAACTCCTTCTTCATCAACCTGTTTCTCTCATGTAGGAAAAGTAGAAAATTTGTGAACTCTGGTGCTAAAGTTAATAGTATTAATCTTTTTAGACAATCAGAAATACCAGAAAAGCAAACTGAGGTCTTCCACGAAAGGGAAAAAAAATGTTAGAGCTGTAAGGGACATCAGAGATCACCCAATCTAACTGCCCTACTTTATAAATAAGAGAACTTGAACTCAAATTGGTGAGGACTTACCAAACATAACCCAGTAAGTTAGCAGGGCAAAGATTAGAACCGAGGCCTCCTGCAACTCAAGGGTCTAGTGGTCTCTTTCCTACACAATACTACCTCCTTTTAATTAGCCTGAGTAGCCCAGGCACGATAACTAGATCCTCTAAGGCTGAAACAACAGTTACAGCTAAGCGCTAAGCAACTCAGGGACGCTTCAAAAACAGCTCAAAGTACCTCAAAATAGGAGACACTGAACTGAATCAAACCTAGAAGTAAAGGACAAAGCTAACCATTATAGTTTGACATATAAATCAACATTTCTAAGTTTCAATATTACAAAATCAAGATAACATTCAGTGAGAAAAATGAAGTTAGTAAATACAGTTAAAAAATCAGTGGAAAGATATTAAACCTTATCTTAGGCATTCATTTCTTTTCAAAGTTCCTCTAAATTAATCCAAATGTATGGAAATAAGAGCTATTCCCCAATTGATAAATGATTCATGAATATGAACACGTAGTTTGCAAAAGAAAAAATCCAAACTATCTATAGCCATATTAAAAAAAATGTTCCAAATCACTAAATGCAATTTCATTCTGAGGTCTACTTATAAGATTGGAAAAGCTGACAAAAACGGAAAATGACAAATGTTAGGGGGGAGGGCCTATAGGATCACAGATACTTTTAATGCATTGTAAGTGGAGCTGTAAATTGGTCTAACCATTCTGGAAAGCAATTTGGAACTATGTTCCAAAAGTCCAAAAGTTCCAAAGTCACTAAAGATGATTACCAGTTACTAGGCCTATGCCCCAAAAAAGATCAAAGAAAGGACTCATATGTACAAAAATAATTAGAGCGGCTCTTTTTGTTGTGTTAGAGAACTGGAAACTATGGAGTTACTATCAACTGAGGAACAGTTGAACAAATTATGGCATATGAATATGACTCTACAGTGCTGTGGAAAACTGAAGAGGTGGTTTTAGATAAAATTGAGAAAACTGTATTAATTGAAGCAGAATGAAGTGAATAGAACCAGCAGAACAATATATACAGTAACAACATTCTAAAAGCAAACAAACTTTGAAAGACTTAACAACTATGATCAACATAATGACTACTATTCCAGAGGCTGGATAATGAAGAATGCCATCCACCTCCTGACAAAGTGGTAAACTGATCCAAATACTGAATGAGGCATGCCTTTTTGGACATCACCAATTTACAAATTTGTTTTCACTTGACTATGCATATTACTTTCAAGGGTTTCATTTTTATTTTTTTTCAATGGGGTAGGAAGGGAGAGGTAGTGGGAGAGAAAGAAAATAAAAGCTTGTTAATAAAAATAAAATTTAATTAAAAAGTGAAAAAGCAGGATGCAGAATAGTTTTGGACAAGGGCATTGTGGCAGTTTGCTTTGTTGGACTATGAATATTGGTTATAAAGGTTTGTTTTTATTTTTTTTCTTTTAAATTAAAGGTTCATGGAAGGGAAAGAAAATAAATGCTCATTAAATGAAAAAATCAAATAAAAAAACAAATGTGATGCAAAAACAAAAGATATCAATACAAATAAGATTAAAAAAATTTAAAGACAAAAAAGGTCTTCTAAAATGCTTACTGCTTTGTATAGTTTTAGTTAATTTCTTTTCCACATAAAAAGAAAGAACAGTATGCTTTTCTCAGATGCTCTGCAGTGTTGATACACAGAAACTTTATCAGACTACTGCCAGTGGCCTTAGGTTTTTGGTAGATGAATAAACCCTTTCTGGTAGCAGAGAATGGAAATGATGAAGCAACAAGTGACAGTAAAAGTTATTTTTCTGAAGGCAAATACATACTTTTTTCCTCCTAGATATAGAATATGATTTTGTAAAACATCTGGCCACAAAACACTACTACTGCATATTCCAAATACCTTTGATTATTTGCTGATGGTCTCCATAAAAACATTATTACTAGAAGAATGAGAGAGAAAAGGAATCTCCAAAATGCATCATCAACCCACAGTTCCATCCAGTCCTGTAACAAGGAAGATTCAAAAACACATGCAACTTAATTCATCAAGAAATTAATTCACTTATGAAAGAAACTGCTTAGTATTTTACTATTATCAGTGGATGCTACATGAACAAAAAAACCAGAGCTCTCTCTTTACAGTACACATTAGCCCAGAGCGATTTGCCCAAGGTGAAATAGAGAAAGTTAATAGATGAACTGGGTTTATATCAATCAATAAACACTTATTAAGCATGTACAATCTGCCAGGAACTATGCTAAGCACCAAGAATACAAAAAAGAGGCAAAAGACAGTCTCTGCCCTCAATGAGCTCACAATCTAACGAAGACAACAATAGGCAAATACATACAAAAAAAGCTACATTCTGAATAACTAGAAAATAATTAACAGAGGGAAGGTACTAGAATTAAGAGGGACTAGGACAGGCTTGACTTTAGTTGGAAGACAGAGAAGTCAATGGGCAGAGCTGAAAACAGAGTGCATTCCAGGCATGAGGGAAAACCTGAAAAAATGCCTGCAGTGACTTTTTCATGGAACAATCAACAGGCCAGAGTCACTAGATCAAAGAACATGTGGTAGAGAGTAAGATCTAAAAAAACTGGAAAGGTAGGAGGAGGCTAGGTTATGAAGGGCCTTGGCAAAAGACTGGATATAGGAAATGAGAGATAATAAGGAGTCAAAGATGACTCCTACATAGTGAGCCTGAAGGACTGTGAGGATGGTGCTGCCCTTTATAATAATGGGGAAGGATTTAGGAGGAAAACATAATTCTGATTTGGACATACTGAGTTTAAGATGTCTAGTGGACATTTAATTCAAGATGTATGAAAGGCAGCTGGAGATGCAAGATTGGAGGCTGGCAGAGAAATTGGGGCAGGACAGGTAAATTTGAGAAACATCAGCATAAAAATGGTAATTACATCCACAGGAGCTGATGAGATCACCAAGTGAAGTAGTATAGAAGAGGAAGAAAAGAGGGCCCAGGACAGAACTCTGAAAGATCTAAATTATAGGAGCATGATCTTCTAAAGTACATTTAATTTATATCTAAGTTAGCACTGTCATTTATCAAGATTCAATCCTTGATACAAAATTCCTAATGCAAACCTTTTTTTCCAGGCATTCTAGCTTCACTGTTTAAGAGTCTTTAAGCAAGAAGCTGTGTGGGACAGCAGAGCAACTGTAGTACTAGCTCTGCTACTTGCTGGCAGCTGTGTGACACTGGGCAAGTCACTTACTCTAACTGAGCTTCAGTTTCTTCAACTATAAATTGAAAATAACAAAACTAGCAATACCAACTGCACAGGGTTGTTGTCAGGATCAAAGGAGAAAAAGGATGTAAAGCACAATGCAACTTTACATTTCATTTCTACAGTTGTAAAAGCCTCTGGTTTGGGAGAAGTGGGTAGAACTCTGGACTTGAAGTCAAGAAGACATGAGTTAAATCTAACTTTATACACTTACTGTGTGACCCATGGCATGTTGCTTATATAGATAATAGCACCGACTTCCCAGCATTGTAGTAAATTAAAATGCAATTCTCCAAAGGCATTATTGCTATGCATGCATTTAAATAAATCTGATTCTTAAAATTCTTTCTCTACTGATGGTAGGATAATCAAATGAGATAATATTTATAAAGTACTTAGCATAGTTTTTGGCCGTGGTGGGTGCTTTATAAAACTTTCCCTCTCTCCCTTCTTCTCTCTTCCCCTCCCTTCCTCCTTCCTTTGCTTCCCTCCCTTCCTCCCTTTTCCTTCTTCCCTTTCTCTACCCTTCCTTCCCTCCCTCCCTCCTTCCTATTTATTTCTTCTCTCCCTCCCTCCCTTCCTCCCTTCATTCCACAAGGAGAATGCAACATTTATTTAATTTATAATTTAACAATTAAACATTGTACTTAAATAGAATTATACTTACAGACTGACATTCTGCTAATCTAAACTTTTTAGTTGTCCATATCATAAATACTATAGAAGCTGAAACAAAGAAAAGTTATCTTTAAAAGAATGATCAATGCTAAAAAAAATCAACATAATAAATATAATTAAATAGCTTACCCAATATAGCAAAAATCAGAGTGTTTGTGAAGTGTCTGTAGAGTGAAAATTTCACTGTGTTCTTTCTTAGTTTTAGGGTCTTCATAGTTTGTGCCAAACTTACAAATATGTACACATACGTACTAAGGAAAGTAATTTTTTTAATAACAGAGAAAAAGAATAAATAAGCCAAAACTCAAATTTCTACTTTCATTCCATTCTAAAATAATTCCAAATTAAAATACCTATGTTAAACTGTTTTTTAAAATAGTAAAACGTAGGAAATGCTATTAAAGCTAGTAATTCTATCTCAATTCCACTTTTCTCATGTTAATGTACAACTCAGTGCTGTCTTTAAATGAACATTCTTAAAGATATGAAATGAATAAAGTTTATGACCACATTTCTGAATGTTTTTGTGCTTTGTCTTAGGAAAATAAAGCACTATGTAAATGCAAGTTTATTTTGTTATCCAGAATTCGGCCCTTTTTGTACAAGTCATTGGGTGCAAGTGCCACACTCCCTGGAAGGAGCTACACTCATATGAGTAGAGCATGTGTTCAGAATCACAGGAGTTAAGAGACAGAAGGGATCTCCTCGACCTTCTAACCCAAGCCACACACAAAAGGAATCTCCACTGGAACAAACACTTGTCCAGATCCTACTTGAAGAACTCCAAAAATGGGGAAAACACCACCCCCAGAGGAAGCCACTTTTGGAAAGCTTGAAAAGTGAAATGTCCTTCCTTCAGGAGATGAGATCCCCCTGCATGTAGGTCTTCCAGTAGAGCCCGGAGGACTATTTGTCAGGTATGTCATGTGTGGGGATTCCTACTATGCTATGTGAAATATGGGTTAAACCAGAATGCCACCGAGGATCCTGTGATTCTGAACACAAGTTGTACTGACAGATATGCAACAGTCTACAGGAAGCATGCCATATGCACTATAGTGTGGTGTCCAAAACAGATCTAATTCTATTTACATGTCACCTAGCATTTAGAAAGGATTTTTTTCAAAGTCTCATTAGTCTAGTTGCACATTACCCACCTGTCCTAAATAGGTCAAATATTATCTCTGCTTATACATAAAAAACTAAGTCCAACAAAATAAAGTGACTCTCCAGATATCAAAAATACAGTTGAGCCTAGATAGGTTCTATCTAGGCTTTTCAACCCATGCCTTTTTATAACAGGTTACATTAGGTAGTTTCATATATGAACTGCTCACTTGCCATATAAAAACAGGATGTCCCAAATTAAGTTGGTGAAGCTTAAAACTGTACTAAGACTTTGAGGATACACTATATTTACCTTTATTAAAATGTTTCCTATAAAGACAGTTTTAGGGGATAAAAGCACAAAGCAGATAATTTACACTCAAAAACAAACAAAAAAACTCATATTCTACTCTACACTTAAAACTAATGTTTAACATTTTAAAGGATCAACATATTTCAAAGGCAAGACTAAAAATCAATTAAGCTTTGCTTCTATGTGTCAACCAACTTATATTAAAGTCACACAACATAACATCCTCCAACATAACTTAGACTTTCTAAACACCTGTAGCAGAAGAGCTGACTAAAAACATCTCAAATTTTTCTATCAGGAATTAAAAGGCCATATGATAGGCCAAAGAATACAAGAAAAGAAGTAATTTAATTCAAATTTGAAACTGGCAGAAAAGGCATTTATCATTAGGCAGTTATAATATTTGGGCAACATTTAAGACACTATTCAAAAGTCAAGTGAAAGGAGGAAAATAAGCTGGTGCAATAAACGGAAACAAAGCAATAACTCCTATTAACATGCTTGCTGTAGTTAGAAAAAGGATATCCACCAGCATAAGCCAGAATCAAGCAAAGCCAAAGGGATGCTGGCCAGAGGAACAAGATCAGATTCTTTTGCCTGCATCAAAAAAGCCAAAAGTCTGAGTCACAAATATATATGTGCTAAAATCATTAACTTGACTTTTTCAGAATTTTTTCTTCCCGCCAAACTACTAGCTAACCTGGATTTGTTAAAATTAACTCAAACTCACATATGCTGTTACAATTTTTTACCCAATAAGCCTTATCTCTTTGTTGCTGTCTTGACGCCACTTGGAGTTTTCTTGGCAAAGGTACTGATGTGTTTTGCCATTTCCTTCTCCAGTTCATTTTACAGATGAGGAACTGAGGTAAACAGGGTTAAGTGACTTGCCCAAGGTCATACAGCTAGTAAATGTCTAAGGCCACATTTGAACTCAGGAAAATGAGTCTTCTTGACTTCAGGCCTGGCACTCTATTCGCTGCACCACCTAGATGCCCTAATCTTAACTCTAGATATAAACTATTCAATATTCACTTTGTAGTTCATAGCCAGGTAGAAAATTCATTAGTTCTCTACAATGATACAATAAAATATTCATTTCCATGAGGTGAAGGTATAACTTTAATATTTGACAATGAAAACAGAATTATCTATCCAATCAGAAAATATGTATTTTCAAAATCCAGGCTCATAATTTGGATTTCTCCACTATTTATTTAATAATTCAAGATAATTTTAACTTCCAGATGTTTCTCATAACTATTTCTTCATTTTTTATAACCATCTGTATGATATAAATCTGCACATTAGGTTTTTTATCTTTGAATTTGAGCCATTAAGTTTAATACCTTGCTTTTCAGAAATGGGGGAATTTCTATGCTTTACATGAAGGCCATATGTAATCCTGTCTAAAACATCAGAATGCAATTATAGTTATCAGAATCTGTGATTCAAGTTTCCTGAAAAATGTATTAAAGTCACTTTCCCTGTTGGTACTACCCTGTGGGTAGTTTTTTTTTTAAATTTCTGTAGTTCAGCCCTATAAAATTCTCCTTAAGAAAAAGCCATGCAGATTTAGGTCTACTGCCTACTGTTCCCCTAAAGACCTAGCTCAACTTTTACAGCCCCTAAATATTTATGTATGTATTACTTTAAGACTAGGCAGATTCCAGAAAAGGATGAGAAGTTTTAGTACAAAATTATGTTGAGGAAAGATGAAAAGCTTCAAGATTTAATGAGAAAAGCCAAAGCAGCAACAAAATTTATCTGCAAAAGATTTTTGTCTTTTAAGACTCTACAAATGTTGACATTTTTTATCTTTTATATGTAAATCTGGCTAGCTTTTCTAATTAATGAAGTTATGCCAGCTTATGATTCCACAGCATCCTGGGATCAAATGACATGTCTGAAATATATTTTTGCTAAAGGGAAATGCCACAAATATCTAGCATTTTTAGATAAAATAAATAGTAAAATTAAAATAGGGTACTGAATCATACCAGCATCTGAAAAGATTCCCTTTAGATATGAAAATAAGATCCACTAACAGTAGGCATTAATAAAAAATAGCAACATATTCACAATCTTTCACTTAGGAAAATTTCACTCCAGCTTCATCTTTATACAAGCAGCTCTGAATGCTACACAAGTAGGCCCATCCACCTCTTTACTTCAATCATTAAATGATGTATAACTCTGCCAATGAAAGTATATCCTTTACCAATAGCTTGCTACCTTTAAGATTTAGCAGACATTGATATGGCTCAAAAAGTCATCATCCTTCAGACAATCTGGTAATGAGTCTCTCTTTACTATGCCTGAGCAATCCTTGGATGATACACACAGGATAGTGGAACCATATTCAAAGTCCTTCTAGTCTGGTAGACCCTGCTAGAAAATGGTATCTGCTGGCATAGATTTTAATAACCTAAGGTCACTTTCATTACATAATGAGGCATCATAGAAAGAATACAGTAATTTAGATAAAAGAAAATAATAGCCCATATCTACCATAAATTTTATAATTTACAAAGCACTAAAAGCTCAGTGAAAAGTCATAAGTCTTATGTTTTTCTGAGATAGGGAAGAGTGGTTTGAGAGACATCTGTGATTTTTCCAACAAAATTTTTAGCTAGAAAAAAATTCTTAATTATCCTAATCCCTTAAAACTCAAGAACCATTTATGAAATCCAGAAATACAACATTAATGATTCACAGATTAGAAATTTTTAAAAAGAGCCAAAAGAGGCAATGATTACTGAAATAAAAAGATAGTAAACATAAGTTTGGGTCCATATCAGGTACTTGGAAACAGAACACGAGTATATGTAAATTTCATATTGACAGAAAACACTAAAGAAAATCAAATGAGAAGAAATAAACATATGTTCAGAAGTGGTTATTTATTCTAGGAATCCTGTTATATCACAGAATTTTTAGAAATAGAAAGACCTTTAGATATGTATTAACCTAACCCTCTAATTTTATAATGAAATTTGAAGCCCAGAGAGGCTCACTAGCTTGTCCAAGGTCACACAACTCTTTGTGGCAGAGGGGGAGACAGAAGCCAACTCTCCTTTCCATGGCTGTTTTCACTGTTCAGTCACTGATTTGAGCTCAAGAAGTAGCTCTCAAAGGATAAACTAGTAATACAACCTTCCATCTCCAAGTAGGTCTATATTAGTTCTTTTTGTTTGATAATTCTACATCTACAATTTTTCAGGTAAGGAATTTAGTTTCTCTTGTTAACCTCTTTGTCAGAAACCTTTTCTTACTTTTAAAACTACATCTTTCTACCCACTGACTCCCTTCTCAGAGTGAAACATTTTCATTCTACCTTCCTCTACATTCAGCTGCTAAAAATGGCTACGCTCTGTTAAAACTCCTTCCAAGTTCTAAAATGGCATTATAGTCTCATTTTCATGACCATTAGATATCACATTATCCTCTCTCTTTGATTTTTACAAAAAGAGAACACACGGTAAAGGATATGAACCACGCAAAAATGGAGTCAATGACTGCTAAAATAATGTCACAAATGAGAACAGCTACATGGCTAGAACCCTAAAAAACAAAATGGAAAAATCACTTGTAACAAGGTTTCATAACAACACAGAATGACATAAATGACGGTTTTTAACTGGGGGGGGGCAGGAGGAGGAGTAAAGGAGTAAAACTAGTTCTACATCTGACCCTAGAAAGCTTGAAAAGTTCAACGTCCTTCCTTCAGAGGGGATAAGACCCCTCTGCTTGTGGGTCATCCAGCAGAGCCCAGATGACCATTTGTCATATATGTTATCATGGGGATTCCTACTATGCTATGTGAAGTATAGGTCAAACCAGAATGCCACCGAGGATCCTGTGATTTGAACATGGATGTCATACTGACAGATATGTAATAGTCTACAGGAAGCATGCCATAAACACTATGGTGTGGTGTCCAAAACAGATCTAACTCCATGTAACAGTGTCACCAAGCGTTTACTTCATGAATAATATCTTTTATGCCATTTCTTCCTTGCAAGTCATCACTGTAAAGCAGTGGGGTCAAACTCAAGAAGAAAATAATCCCTCCCAGGTATACTGACTTAGAAAACCACAAATTAATATTTCCTATGTTGTATTCTATTTTATTTATTTTGTTAAATATTCCCCAATTACATTTAAATTGGGACTTGGGAGTTCTGGGGCCCCACTTAAGAGAGTTTGATAACCCTACTGTAAAGGACCTGAGTTCAAACCTTGCCACAATAATTTACTGCTATATGACTACAGGCCAATCATAACTTTTCTAGGCCTTAGCTTCCTCATCTAAATAATGGGGATATCTGTAAGGCCAACTTTATAGAGCTGCTGTGAGAATCAAAGAAGATACATAGTATGTCTGCAAATCTTAAAACCTCTATGATTTGTTCAGTATTTTTACTCATATCCAATTCTTCGTGATCCCATTTGGGATTTTCTTGGCAAAGATACTGGAATGGTTTGCCATTTTCTTCTCCAGCTCATTTTACAGATGAGTAAAATGAGGCAAACAGAATTAAGTGACCTGCCTAGGGTCACAGCTAAGAAGTGTCTGAGGCCAGATTTGAACTTGGGAAGATATCTTCCTGCCTCCAGGCCTGCACTCTACCCACTGTGCTACCTAGCTGTTCTAAAATCTATATACAAGTTAGCTATTAATATGTGGCACACACACCACACACACACACACACACACCCACACACCACACACACACCCACCCCTGATTTCTCCCTAACTAGAAAAAAATTTAAATGACTACACTGAAAGGTGAAAACACCAACTGGGTTTAATTCAGAATGCTACTTATAACAAGACTAACATGAAGATGAATAATGTCATCAGAACCTTGGGATTCTATTTTCCTATTCTGATTCCTAAAATTCCTATTCCTAAAGAGCTATAAACAAGAACAAAGAACTGAGGAGCTTGTTTCTAAACAGTACAGAGGACAGGGAAAACTCTTTAGTGACCTACACTGAATGTATGATCTATTCTGTGATCTTTCTACCACAGCCCAGTATCTTATCTATGTTCAAGACATAGGTCAACGAGCTCAAAGAACACTTTTACTCTCAGGAAGAATACGATATTTATTTTTAAAAAATGAAAGAAGGGTTTGAAAGTAAAAAGAATCCGAAGAAGCAAATTAGAATACCAATCTGTGGCAGGAAGTCCAAGGGTAGAATAATAAGATACCAAATTGAAAAATACAAGTGTTCTGTGGTCCTTCTTCCCCAAGTAGTCAATTTGAAGCGATACCTGCAGGACCTAAACCCTCTAATGAAAATCCTACTTAGCCTTCATGTCTATCCATCCACCAAAGATCAGAGGAGGCCAGCCACCGGGTGAATGACTGCCTCCTATGGGCTGAAGGGGCAACTATTTGTGCACTTAATCACAGGAAAGAGATCTATCAACTTCCTTGGGTGCAGCAAACCTGATGGCTAATCCCAGCTTCTGGTGTCTCAGAAGGGCACAAGTGACTCTGCTAACAGGAATCCAGAAAGGATCACTTAGAATCAGACTTTAGGCAAGAAAACCTTAGGGACACAGGCGGTATTTTCATCACTGCTACCAACTGAATGCAAAGCTTCAGAGAGAAAATGAAGTTTGGGAAGCAAATACCAACTTAATAAGACGCCATGTGAGAATATAAATTTTGGATTTCTGGATAATGGCTTAAATGACAGGAATGACAGGTTCCTGGCCAAAGATTCTGTCCAGAAAGGCCCAGGGTAAGCACCTAGAGACTCTTGCACAGTTAATTAAAAGTGTTTTAAACAGACAAGGAAGCAGGGATGAGAAAAAATGCCTATGTATATCTACCAAGACAGATATCAGAAAGAATAGGTACAAGACAGGAAGAAGCAATAAAGTTCACAGGACACAAAGTCCAAGAAAAAAGCCACAATAAAACTAATGACTTCATATGGCTATGCATATGAGGCAGGTAGGTGGCACAGTGGGCAGTGTACTGAACCTGGAGTCAGCAAGACCCAAGTCCAGCCTCACACACTTCCTACCTGTGTGATCTTGGACATATTACTTACCCCTGTCTGCTTTAGTTTCCTCATCTGTAAAATGAAGTTAATGGTAAAACCTACCTACCAGGGTTGTTGTGAGGACCAAATGAGATAATATTTGTAAAGCACTTTACAAACCTCAAAGTGATATAAATGCTAGCTATTAATATTTTAATGTATGGGTAGGTAAGGTAAACTAGAGGTAAACAAGGTGAACTAGGGAGCTTAGCACAAAGAAGAAAATTTGACAACACAGGTATCACTGAGTCATGGTAAAAGACATGGGAATATGGCTCAGGAAATATGTACTATATTCAAAGGAAAAAGATAGGAAAAGGGGAAATAGAAGAGGTGCAGAGTAGCACCATCTGTTTAAACTTGTGTTCAATTAAGGAAATCTAAGGGACCAAAAGGGAAGAGAGTATGGTAAGAGAGCATCTGGCTGAAGATGAAAAGCAGAAACAATGCTATCCACAGACATTAGTGAGCACCAAGAGAGAAAAAGGAAGTAGATGAGTTCAAAGAAACAAAAAAGATAACAACTCTAGGGTATGATTTAATGATAACTAGAAACTAGAGCTCCATCTCTGCCAGAACTCTCTCAGTGATAACTTCATCCTTTAAAACAGGAAAGAGGCAATGAAGGAAACATCTATATTTTGCACCAGATTCTCACCAACAAGGAGGAACTCATTTCTGGTTGGGAACTATGGAGAAAATATGGTCACTTCATCTTAATGTTTGTGACAGAAAAGACAGAGAGGCTCTGCTAAGAATTGGTCCAAGAAGGGCAAATCATTAAAGAATTTATTAATAGTAAATACTACAGATACAAATACAAAATCAAAGCAATTCCTATACTCAAGGGGCTCACATTCTACAACGAGGTAAGGAAACTAAAGAATAAAACATTAAAGAAATAAAGGGAGAAAAAGCAAGTCTGATCAAGAGAAAAGAGGGTAAATTATATAGAGGCCAATGCAGATGCAGAAGGAACTAACCACCAACTAACAATTCTTTTTTAAACTATACAGATGATGGAAGTCAGGGCAGGTAATTGAGGATAAACACAAAAAGTATGACAGTCTTGTGAGAATGTCAGGAAAATTGGAATTCAGAATAAACTGAGACTATTAACAAAAAAAAAAGTACAACTAAAATGGATGTTTTTCCCCCACTGGGAAAAGAGAAAAATCAAAGAAAAGGGAGAAGGGGAAGGAAAAAAGTATTTATTAAGCACCTCATATGCACCAGGGACTGGGCTAAGTGCATTACAAATATCTCATTTGATCATCATAACTACCTTAAGAGGTAGTTATGGGTAGACCCATCTTAGGGTCAAGGCAGACAGAGGTGAAATGTCTTGTCCAGGGATCACCCAGCTAGTAAGTGCCTGAGGCTGCATGTGAACTCAGATGTTCCTGGCTCTACACTCAGTGCTCTCTCTACTACACCACCTAGAAGAAGCGATAGCATCACTGCCACTCAACTCTCACTCTGTTTTCTCTGCCAAGAAAATCACAGGAGATCCAGTCCTTCTGCCTATCTTTTCTCTACTAAGCAGAATGTTCTTTGCAGTATAAAGTGCAGAAAAAGAACAGTAAGCATTTCCTGATACTTGCTTTCCTCCCAAAATGATTACATATGTACTTACATATTTATATGTTGTATTCTCAGTAGAGTATAAGTGCCTTCAGGACAGACTGTTTCTCAATTTACTTTTGTAACCCTAATGACTTCCAAATGAATGGATGAATGAACATTGCACAGAGGAGTCACTTATATACTTGCTGTATTGAAAGACTAAGTAAAGGAAGGGTCAAAGGAGCCCTACCTGCATGTGATGCATTCAGTTCACCAGGCCTGGATGAGCTACATCCCCAGGAACTAAATAATTAGCAAATGTGACTGAAGCTTGTCAGTGATCTCTGCAGGAAGGGCAGAGTCACCACAGGACTAATGAAGTGCAAATACTGTCCTGATTTTTTTAAGAGACTTCAATCTTAAAACTACAGACCCCTGAGATGACTTCTATTCCTGGCCAGATTCTAGACCATATGAAAGACATGGCTAGTGAACACATAGAAAATGAAGTGATGGACCCATAAAAAAAAACAAACAAAAAGGCTTCACCAAGAACATGCTATAACATTCCTTTTGCAGAAAGCTTACTACACTGGCATATTGGGAAATTCTAGAGATATATTCACTGATTTTTTTCAAAGTCTATCATGTTATTCTTGCGGATAAATGTAGGCAAGGTGATAACACAGTGAGGTAGTTACAGAAGTAGCTATACTCAAAAGTAGTTATTAACGGTTCCAGTTCAATGTCAACTTGGAAGGAGATGGCTAGTGGAGTGGCTGGTTGTCCCTGTACTATTCAACACTCTGATCAACGATGTGAATAAAGGAATTAATTGCATGCTTATCAGATGTGGAGAGTACACAAAGATCTTGATAGGCTAGAATACTGGGCCGTATCTAAAAAGATGAAATTTAACAAGGATAAATATATAATTCAGCTAAAAATCTAATAGGTAGGGCCACATACTACCAGTTAAAACTACTTTAAAAAGTATATTTTAATGTTCAAAAATGCTCAAATGCATGAAATTAATATTTAGGTTGTCCATCTGATTAATAATTTTCAAGGTTTATATGGGAAAATTAAGAACCCAGACTATACAATGTCAAAGGCAAAATGTTCTCTGAAGTGAATATCATAATTCTTAAATTTTGTTTTGAATAGCAAACATTCAATATTCTTTGTTTTTACATACCACTATATGTGAATCTACAAATACATATCTTTGAAAACAATAAAAATCAGCTGAACACTATTGTACAAGCTTTCAATTCCGATGCAGTTTTTTTTTAAATACAAGTCAGATCAGATTTCCATTGCTTTTGGTCAAAAAACAGTAAAAATTTCAGAGCAAGGAGTAACGTTGTGTAGTCTTTAAAATATCAAATTTGAACAAAAGAATATGGGGTGTTTCAGATACACATCAAATGTGTACAGACAATTTGTACCTACAAAAACTTTCAAACTCAACCATGTTCTACATTAGTAAGTGCTTTATCCTGTTCTTTGTATGCTCAGGAAAAACAGTAGCAATTTTCTAAAATGAAAATATTACATAAGCAGAAATGTCTAATCCAGATGAAACTTTTTGCAAATTTGTACAATTAAAAATACATAAAAGAATATTAAACTATGTAAATTCATTTCTGGAGAAACTCACCAAAAGATATGACAAAGTAAAACATGTCTTAAAAACAATTTTTTAAAAAGTTACCACTTTTTACCCCAATAACTCTCATAATGCCTTCAATAGCCGCAAAAATGAAGTAAAGAGCACCCAGTCCGATCACTCGATGCATAACTGTTCCTAAACGGGGTCTGAATCAATGAAACGAGAAAAACAAAGCATGAGTAAGATAAAATACAACTGAAGAAAATACAGTGGGTACAATTTTTTAGTAACAAGTCATCATCTAACTACACATAAGCAATTCCCAATTTTCTTCTTCCTGCAGTTGCCTTTTTCAGCAATAGACGGCAATCAGGTCTTTGAAATGGAGACCCAAAGAGTTAAGGAAGCAAAAGAAAATAGTTTATGCAGATTAGGTCTACAGATTAAGGAAGAAGATCCTAAAACAGAAGAATAGATAGATTGCAGTGAAATGTCTGTGCTTTTTTTAAAAGCACTGTTCAGAGGAGACTAAATGAAAATTAAAAGAATGCAAAGCAACGGCTATCTGGATATGATGGATTACAATTCTGCTGTTAAGTAGAAGTAGGCCTGGTACTTCTCTGAAGACCATCAGTAGGATTCATGATGTGGCCTGGGCCTGACATAATTTTACAGACAAAAACTTAAGGTTAAGATGAGGCCCATGGTTACACAGGTTAGTAAGTGGGTACAGTCAGAATTCAAATCAAAGTCCTCCAACTTCAAACCCAGCTTTCTTTCCTCTGAACAACCCTCTTTTCTTAACTCAAGGCTAGAAACGATCTTAGAGATCAGCTAAGTCCAATAGCTTCATTTTATAAATGAGGAAATTGAGGCCTATCCCTATGAGAATGCTCCAGGTCCTGGCACACAGAAGGTACTTAATGCTCGTTAACTAACTTGCATAGGTAGTAAAGCAGCAAAGGCAGCATTTGAACCCAGATCCAGCCCTCTTTCCACTGTACCATGCCACCTATTTTTAGGAGAATCAAGGCAAAAGGAAAAGAGGGAAAAACATTTAATCCATTCCTCACATTCACATTTAAGACAACGAGACAACTGGAGAAACAACATACCATCCCAAAGGCCACAGTTTCTACATTCCTATGGCAGACACAATTCCGACTGAGCATAATCTACAAGGCCTCACAATCTAGAGAACCTCACTGCCCTCATCAGGATACAGCACTCAACAAAAAGGAAGGAAGAGGCAGGGGGGAAAAAACAGGAAATGTTGAAGTGCCATATTAAAAATATACACAGAAAGTACCTTGTTATTATATATGGTTACATATAGCTATAGAAACTCTTTCCCCTTAGCAAACTGCAGAGATTATGGACAAGAAAAATGACTGATTTTTATTAGTTATTTCCCAAGATATATGAGTTGGCAACAGAATAAATTTAAAACATTAAGTCCATCACTGGAATAGTGGCATCTTAAAAAAAATTCAAATAAATTGTAAAAACAGAATTAAATTCAATTACCCTGAGCCAACAAATTTAATGGCACTGATATTTTTTCAGGACACTCAACACCCACCCATCAGAGCTATTTTATATGAAATAAAATTATGTTTTGCAAACTACCAAAAAGCATTTTAAGAAAAATAGTGAAAAATGAAATCCAAAATAGCATAATACTCACACTTAGAACTCTGAAGCCATAATTTCAAGTTACTTAATAGAGGTTTTGATATCCTGGATCCAAACTAATGTGGAACCAAAATTCCTCTCCTACTCTGACTTCATATCGCACAATGGATAGAGCCAGACTCAGTCAAGAATCAATCAATAAGCAATGAGTAAGAGCCTACTGTATGCCAGGTACTGTATGAGGCCCTGAGGACACAAAGAAAATAAATGGAACCCTTCTCAACTTGTAAAGAGCTTACATTCTAAAGGAAGACCTGAGTTCAAATACTACCTCTTCACACCTACTAACTGTGTGACCCTGGACAATTCACTTAACCTCTCAGTGCCCCAGTGAATTCCCTAAGACTATAAACTGCTATTACAGAAGGAGATTCCTCACTGAAATCTTCCTACACCGATAAAATCACAGATCCAGCTAAACAACAACCAAAAATACCACCAACTTCAAAACACGTGAATACAAAACTGACAGAAGAAATTTATTCAAAAATGTATCTTTTAGTATATAAGGTATCTAATATCTTTATTAGAATCAATAAAATTCAAATACTTATTTCCCTGGAAGAAGTAGAATCCCTTTCTCCCAAGTGTAACTTGGGGCTGTACTGCCTAGGTTCTGAGGGCAACGCAAACAAAAAAGAAAAACGATCCTTGCCCTAGTATAGGAATTAACATGGAATAAAACATGCAAGCAAATACACAAAAAGGCTAGATGAAATAAAAGCACTAACATAAACGGAAGATTTTGGAACAGGGAGTTACCCTCGCACGGCTGTATCTATGAAGATTACATTAGCAATGTGGAAGCAGGAAGACTGGTTAAGAAACTATTGCAATAGACCAAGCCAGAGGTAAAGAAATCATTAACTAAGGAAGTGGTAATGAGAATGAAAAGGAAAGGCAGATACAAACAAATAGCAGATACAACAGGATTGGGAATGAATTAGAGGATGAGGCAGACTAAGTCAAAAGCGATTCTAAGGATTTAAGTCTGATAGAAAAAGTGTTGGCACTATTAAATGGAAAATTCAGGGGCAGGATGGCTGTAATAACACCTAATACTTACTTCACAATGCCATAGCCCAAGCTCACAATAATAACCAGGAGGCGTGCTAGTGTCCTCTTAATTGCAGAAATCAACTCAGCAAACATTAATAAACCTTGGGCTGAAAAGGAAACAAATCACTTCTGATACAAATAGTGAACGAGAAGAAATTCTCCATATTCAAGATTTTCCATTTCTTCAAATACATTTGGCCAACCCATTCTCAGATTTGTAATCCATGAGCCCTCTTGGGCACAGTAACCTTTACAGAAGTGAAAAAATGGCTGCGTGTCAATAGTATACAGTTGCAATGCTACTAAAATAAAGTAGATTCCTTGTTACATTGAAAAGAGAAAGGGAAAAGTAAGCAAGTAGAAATAGAGGGTCACTAACTCAAGAAATCTCTAAGTTTCACCAACAAAAAATTCTTTTAGCTAATAAGCTACTCTTTGGGAATATAAATACACATAGAAAATTAAGTCAGCTGGGATCCACAACAGTGAATTGGAATTTTATTTAATTAAGGGATGGGAATAATAAAGGAATCATAAGATTCTAGAATTTTAGAATCAGAAGGAACTTAAGTGCCATCTAATCCAGCTCATACTTAAAGTATTTCCACTATGACATACCCAACAAGTCATTAATCAAGCTCTGCATGAAAAGCTACAATGGTGGGGAAAGTATGCCAACACAGATCCAACTCCTACTCAAAGGACCATGTGGTTCCCCTTCAACTCCTTCCCTTCTCATATTTACTATGATGACTAACAGAAATCAAAGTCTCTACAACCCACCCAGCCAAATGCTTCATATATCATTTATATAATAGATCAGCAACTTACAAGACAGTCCTGTGGTACTGACATTTTGATATTCTGCATAAAATACTGCTTTTTCCAGCATTCCCAGGAAAATAACAGCAGCAATCCAGAACTGGATTCTTAATAAATCTTTCCAATAACAGGCAGACCACATTAGCCAGAGCACACCATATAAAATGTAAATAATGCACATCACCATGTAAAACTGTAGAAAGAAAAGGAGTTTTAGATCACAGAAGCCTTAATTCTCTTAAGCCTGGCATTCCTCTGTCCAAATGTCATTCTAAGTTATTTACTATTTTTTGGTACTTTAGAAACAAAGATGGATAAGTACTGACAAAATAAGACACCTGATGAGAGATTCTAGGAAAGCTATTTCAACTCTCAAGGCCTCAACTAACTCATCTGTAAAATGTGAGGGTTAGAGGAGATTATCTCTCTATTGCTAACATTAACATTCCACCATTTGTTGGTTTCCATTTATTCTCCTACTTACAATCATTAAAGGCCATTCTGATGCAGAGATATATCCATGAAGGCCCACCATCGAAAGAGAAACTGGTGGGAAAAAAACAAACAGGTTTTCTATCAATTTCTTTTGTTAAGCTATTTAAAACACACCTATTTTCCTGATGACATAGGTACCTGCTCATCCTCCTCCTGTAGTTCTAGTCTTTTATGTGTACTGCAATCCCCAAGGAGAGGAAGGATTATCTTGCCTTTCTAACCTTATAACCAGTACATCGTTTCCCACATGATAAATACTTAATACTTTTTCATTCATTCAAACGAACAAAAACCTATACTATATTTCATCTAACACAACGGTAGATATAAGAATACAGTATTCAATAACTACTTATTTGACAGATTAATTCAATAATCTGACCCTTGCTAAGTCAAATGATTTGAGCCAAATTTGTTTATTACCAAATAGCTATATCATTTACAACAGGAGGCATAATCTGGGCATTCTGGAGGCCTAAACCTAAGAAAAGTAGACTTTAGAGTTATCTAGTTCATGTCTATGCCTCATCTTCAAATGATGAGACTAAGCTTTCAGTCTTCTCCTTTTGGAACCCTCACAGCAGCTAATATAATGTTGCCAATGCTTTCCTATTCTTAGAATATTCAATAGCTGAGGATAGGTAAGAGAGAATAAATATTTGAAAAACTAGCTGAAGTAGACGAGCTAGGATTAGCAGAAAGCCTCCTAATCTTCAAAAACCTCAATTTTCACCCATTTCTTAATACTCTATTCTTCCTATCCCAGAGTGAGAAGTGGCAATGAGAAGAACCAAGGTTAAACTATTTACTTATTCTCCTTAATTCTTTCAGTCTTTTTATTCATTCATCTCATCTCTCGCCTTCCTTTCACTACAAAAGATTAGTTTATACTTGCTGCTTTTAATTTCTTACTACCTACTGACTCTTCAGACTCATGATCTGGCTTTTATCCATACCAGCTCTGATTGCTTCTTTTATCTCTATTTCTGGTTGCCTTTTCCCCCTTCCATCCCTAAATGTTGGTGTCACTGAAAAAAACTGTCCTCAGTATTCTTCTCTACACCTCAAGAGGTCTGACTTCCAAACCTTCCTGTTCGGTCACAAGTTCTCCCTTGCACTCCAGACCAGAAGCTCTAATTGCCTCCTAGGTATCTTGACTTTGATATCTTGCCTGGACCTAATTCAAACTGAGCATGTCCAAAACCAAATGATCTTTTCCCAAAACCTATCCTTGCTCTGAATTTGAGTAGTACTTCCACTAATGGCACCAGATTCTCAATCATCCAGACTTAAAACTTAATTCTTTTCCCTCTCCATAAGCAGTCAGTCACCAAGTCCTGTTGGTTCTATCTACTAGATTTCTCACATCTGTTCCTTCCTTTCCATTCCCACTGTCATTACATTAACCCATCAACTCTTACCTAGAACACTGCTTTTGGTTCTGAACTAGTTTTCACAGCCCTAGCTTCTTCCTGGGCCAATCTAACTTACCTACTCCTCATAATACTCTTCTTAGGGGATAGCTCTAATCATGTCACAGTAGTGCTTGAAGATTTTCAATAGTGTAACCCTCCCTGCCTACCAAATAAGGTCCCAAATCCTTAACCAAACACAAAAGGCCCTGACATACTTTTTGGCCTTATCTCCACTGTTTTCCTTCTCATGCTGCATGCTAGAACCAAAAGACTTAACCACATTTCCTCTGACCACCTGTCCAACACTTTGCTGCTGTCATGCTTCTACCCTTTGCTCCCACCTACACACCCCAATATTCCCCCACTGAAAGTCTTCTCATGCTTGAAAGTCCAAATCAAATTAAAGTCCATTCATCCATTAAAGTTGTCATTCATTCATTGTTCCTCCAAGTCAAAAGTGATCTCTCCTTCTTTGGCTCTCTCAGAATCATAGGATCAAGAGTTGGAAGAAACCTCAGAGCCCTGTTAGTCTTATCTATTCCTGAAAAAGAATGCAACTAAAACATTCACCCTTGGTTTGAAAGCATCTGCAAGGAAGAACCCACTATTTCCAGGGGTAGCACATTCCACTTTTCAGCAATTCTGTAGCTTCTATTCATTTTTCTTGTTTCATTAAAGCATTCTAAGAAATCATTAGCTACTCTGTTGTAAGGCAGGGAGACCTCCAACAAGTATCTAGATAACTTTAGTTCTGAATCATAAAAATATCATGCCTCCCACACAAGCCTGATTATCTACTCCCAAAATGCTTCAGCTATTTTTCTTTTTTTCTTCTTCAGGTATTCTGCAATTTGGACATTGACAATATTCTTTGTATTTCTGCCTCTTTTCAAATTCATCCAAATGCCCTCCTTGCTTCCCTCTCTCTGGTCACTAAATTTCCCTCACTTTAGTATACCTTCTATACAATTCTACTCTGTGTTCTCTGCCCCCTACCCAATTTCTTTTACACTTCCATATATTCTGAGGTATACACTTCCATAATCATATCCCTTCCATGGGTCTCATCTCACCAAATCTCAGAAATAACCAAGATGTCCTATTTCCCTTCTCATTTTATAATTTCTACCTTTCCTTGTTCCCATACTTCATACAAAATACTTATCTAAAACTATGGCTTTATTTCTGGCTCCTTTCTTGGGTTGTCGTCTATGAAGTTCTGCGTATCTCTACTACTTTTCTTTTTACATTATAGACATGATCAAAGCATAAGACTGTTGGTTATGAAGGTAATTCTCTCTCATCCTACTCCATTTCAGTTTAAAGCCCTTATGATTAGATTTTTAAGACTATAGGAGATCCATTTTTACCAGGCATTACTAGGTACAATCCATCCCTGGCCAGGAATCAGTTATTCCTGTATTTTGAACCAGTGAGCAGAAATCCAATCCTATTCCCAAATCCATATTTTTAACCAGATCTTCACTTCCCAAATCTGCAACTTTCCTAAAGCTTTTGATTAGCAGCACTAACAAAAATCCCATCTACGGTGCTAAGGTCTTCAGTTTCTTGGCAAAGTTTCACAATCCTGAGCAATTCCTTCTACATTCCTAATGGCATTATGGTGTGGTCTACATGCGTCACCAGAAGCAGGAGTAGCTCCTCTCTCTGAACTCAGCTTCTATAACCCCTCTTATAAATTTCTGTTCTAATTTGTGCAACTCTTGTCCATAAACATATTACTGATGTCTCACTGTAACATAGAGGTAACTGTGGGTTGCAGAAGGTTTACGCCAAAGGGATGTAAAAGCTACGGCAAACATTATTAAACTGAACATAAATTTATAAAATGGAATGAAGGATGACTTATGGATAGCCCAATGCTCTACTAGTACTCATAAAGTATTAAGAGGACCAAATGAAGGCCCCTAGACAATCTGGTATATCTGATACGCAATGTTTCTAGAAAGATATGGACAAAAATCACTAAGGATAAAAAGATGAAAGGTATTCTAGCTGTGCTGGAAGTAGTAAGATCCAGTAAAGTTATCTGCAGAACCATTATATCTCCCCAACTAGCTTAGAAATCTCCTGAAGGCAGAGATATTATGTCTCATTCATGTTCACACTTATTAAGCATCTGCCACATGAAAGTAACCACATCTACATGTGTGGGTTTTTAGTAAATGTTTTGTCGTCGTTGCTGCTGTTTCAGTCGTGTCCAACTCTTTGCGACCCTATGTGGGGTTTTCTTGGCAAAGATACTGGAGGGGTTTGCCATTTCCTTCTCCAGTGGATTAAGGCAAAGAGGTTAAGTAAGCAGCCCAGGGTCACACAGCTAGTCAGTGTCTGAGGCCAGATTTGAACTTAGGTCTTCCTGACTCCAGGCCCAGTGCTCTGTCCACTGAGCCACCTAGCTGCCTCCAGTAAATGTTTACTGAAATGAAATAAAATCTCACATAAAAGTCAATATATTTATTTACCAAATAAATTTCTATAAAATCAAAACCATCCAAGGGGCCAATGATGCCCACTAGAAACATTCAACATAATAAAATTCTGAAAATCCTGAAGACCTCATAATATTTGATAATCTTCTCCAAAACACTATTTTAATTATAAATTCTGAAATTTGCAAGTGCAGAGTGAACTTTATCGCTGATTATAAGGTTTTAAATTGTATACAATTTTTTTAACTGAAAAATTAAGTTTCTTAGAGAATTCAAAAAGAAATTAAAAATACTTCTTTAAAATATAATACAAATTTGCTCTTAGGAAAAGCATAAGACTTTCATCTTAGAAATTTAAGGCCACTCCAAAAACAGTAATCACTTCCTAAAGCATAATTAGTAATAATTAACTTTTAAATGGCATGTTACTAACAGCGTAGTTACACTCAGAATAAAAGACAGAGTACTCTGAACACAAAGAAACATGCTTTTAGTTAAATAACTGTACCATTCAAATTCCAGTTTGTGTCTTCCTTTTCTGTTTTAAAAGAAATAATAAAGAGATATGGTCCATCCCTCCATGTTGTGGCTACATCATCATCCTACAAAACAGAAAAAATCCTTTTATGGCAAACAGAAATGACAATTTAAAATTGCAACTATTTGCTCCTTAACTTTTGAAACAAGTATTAGCTGTTGGACTTGCTTTCAATTTGTAGCAAACATAAAGGGTAGGCGCCAGACTGATGATGAAAATATCCAGTATCTGTTGTATTCAAATAAACCTTTGCTCTATCTCTTTACTACCATACTGAGCAAACAAGGGGGCAGATTTCTCTCAAATTTCTCTCCAAAAGCCATCTTTCTATACATCCCTCCTTTTGAGGGTAGCTATTGTCAATGTCTAGTTTTTCTAAAACATAACTTTTTAAAAAATAGTTCAGAGAATTTCTGAAGAACCTATCTAGATTAAAGGCAAAGGACAAAATACATTTCACTCTAAGAAAAAGAATGGGGTAGAAAAGACTTACTTAGCATTTGGAACCACAACAAACTGGGTTCAGATTTCAAGTTTACCACTTGTTATCTTAACAATTTGTTATCTTATGCATTAGGGGAAATGACTTCTCTTCTCTGGGTCTCATTTATAAAATGAAGGATTTGGACTAGATTGATCTCTAAGGTCCTGTTTTTAGCTCTAAATTCCATGATTAGGAGATTCTCCTAAATTTACCCTTCTCTAAATTATCAATCTGCTGTAATTATCCATGAATACCATCTTTCCTTGCCCCCTTATATCTGAACTTTCCACCTCTGTTTCTTTGCTCTCTTTAAAACCCTCCTTGATGCATTCCTATGAGCTTAAATAATCTCCATCAGTTGGTTTATATTTTTTCCTCCTTTCTTCATGGACAAAAGGTAAAAGGCAGAGGAATAACAGTATGGAAAGAAGAGAGAAATGTTATACTGAGATCATTAGATGAAACCTTAATGACAGTTTTAAGACAATATACGGAAGCTAGGTGATGCAGTGGATAGAGCTCCAGCCTTGGAGTCAGGAGGACCTGAGCTGAAACTTGGCCTCAGGAACTTGACACTTACTAGCTGTGTGACCCTGGGCAAGTCACTTAACCCTGATTGCCTCACCAAAACAAAACAAACAAAAAAAACCCAATATACAGAAGAATGTGGGATTGATGTAGATAGAATACAAACAATACATATCACCATTTAAATAAACCCAATTCCAGTAACTCTATTTTCAAGCCACTTATTCTGCTTCCTCTCCCCCAAACACATACCAAGTGCAATGCAGCATGATGAAACTGACTATCCATCAGTATTAGATTTTTCTAAAAGTCCTGTTACACTGTATTTTTGGTTTAAGAACAAATGAAAATTAAAATTTACCATTGACCCTTGCATGTCTGGAAGTTTTTTCATATTTACTACTGTTTGTTCTTTACTCTAAAAAAAAGAGAACAGATGATTGAGATCAACAAGGCCAACTCGAAATAAAAATTTTTCAGTACTTTCTGAAAGAAAAAAAAATCAAAAGTTGTCAAAGATAATACATACCAAATGGGGAATCTCTCTCTCTATAAAATATCTAAGAATCTCAAAGGATAAGTTGAATAAAAGAGGACAAAATAAAGTGCTGCTATTAATTTTTTAAGCCTACGATGAAATGTGTTAACTGACATGTTTTCCCTAACAACAGGTAGCACAACTTTTAGCTGCCTTATAGAAACCTCATAGTTTAATAGGACAAAAGAATAAAATGACATTTAAAATAATTAAGAAGTTTGAACTGGTAGAATTTATGAGGAAATCTTAAAGGAACAGGGATTTAACATTTAAGAGAAGACTAGAGGTTTAGTATGTCACAGACCACCAGACTTGACAATTACTCCCATTACTAAAAAAAAAGAATGGAAAACAATCTCTACTTATAAGACTTTAGAATGAGATGGCAGGGATCATATATATTCTCTTGCAGTTCTTTTGCAATCTTTGTAATTTTGGGATCATTTAGAACAGACAATACACAATAATCGAGAATACAGACTAATAGTTGATTAAAAGTAATAACATACACATATTTTGTGTGAAAAATAAGTATTGAACATAAGGAAATAAATAAGCTCTGAACATAAAGAAAAAAATTACTTATTTTTGCAATAAAAGCTTCAGAGCTCTGTGTGTGTGTGTGTGTGTGTGTGTGTATGTACATGTTTTCCCCCAAAAAACAAGCTAATTTATAAACTGATGATGGATCTCCCTTTTAGGAAGAAAAGGAAAAGACCCAGTTATAATGAAGACAAAGAGATGACCATGGCCTCTCCCTGTCACCCTCTATTTGGTTGCGAGTGCAGGAATTAAAGTGAGATAAAATAAGTGGCATGTAGGGAGCAAAGAATTTTCCCAATGGGTCCTACAAAGCTGCTGATGTAAGTGCCTGGATAGGCATTAGGTTACAACTAACCTTTGGGGCCAACAGCTGTGGCAGAAGAAAAGGTCTGATTGTGTTGAAAACAAATTCCATGATTGGCTATCACAAAGAAGATAGGATTCTACCCATCTTCCCATCTTTCAACTGACCACAGAATTCTATGATTCATGGAATTCACATGATCCATAATGCCATGACCCCCCCAAGAGAGACCCAATCCCTATTTTGCAGACTGACGCCCTGATGCACAAATCTTTTGTGAATACATTTTTGGGAGGGAAAGTACCAAAAAAAAAATTAATAGAGGCTGCTGTCTGAAGCACTGGAATATGAAAAATGTTTCAATTTTTTTTCTTTTTTCTAATAGTTAAAGAGTCTTCTAGTGCAGCTAGGTGGCACAGTAAATAGTGCATGCGGTCTGGAGTCAGGAAGATCTTAAGGAAATGGCAAACCGCTTCAGTATCTTTGTCAAGAAAACCCTAAATAGGGGGCAGTTAGGTGGCACAGTGAATAGAGCACCAGCCCTGAATTCAGTAGGACCTGAGTTCAAATCTGGCCTCAGACACATAACGCTTACTAGCTGTGTGACCCTGGGCAAGTCACTTAACCCCACTGCCTAGCCAAAAAAAAAAAACCCAAATGGATCATGAAAAGTTAGACATGACTGAAATAACTGAACAAAAATAACAACAAGGGTCTTTTAAGATCCCATCCAAGAATTAGCTTAGCTGAAGGGGAAAATTCAGGAGGTAATGGGTAAAGGAGGCTGTGGTAAGCAAGAATGTAGAAATAAAAAAGCACTCAACTGAATAGCCGATGAAAATTAAAACCTTTTCTTATTCAGTGACTAATACAAATTTGTTGACATTTGCATTAACTGGGAAGAAAAAACTGTCAATGTTATAATATTCAGGAAATTCACAACATACTCACACTCAACATAGGAAACATCTGCAAATCAGTGTCACAATTTAAGCGTTCACTTTTTTGCTTGAGACATTGTTTTCCTTGGAAATAATCTTCACAGAAGTCTTCATCACCACTAAGTATGTGTTTGTCTAACAGTTCCTACCAAATAAAGTTTAGGATTGTTTCAAAACATATGTAAATTGAACCAAGTTTTAAAACAGTTTAAAATGATCCTGCACCCAAATTTAACAACAATGAAAAGTAGTTCAATTTTGACTTGGAAATGCAGTATTTATGAAAGTTCACATTAAAAAAAGAAGAAAAACAGATCAAGAACCTTTTTTTAAAATTATTCAATTTTATTTTATTTTCAACTCCAAATTCTCTCCCTCTTCTTCCCAACCCAATAATGTTTTAATTCAATTTTACTTTATTTTCAGTTCCAAATTCTCTCCCTTCCTCCTCAATTTCCCCATCCAACAGCTACCTTTGCAACTACAGGTAGAAGAAGAATTCTTAACCAAACAAGGGGCAAAGAAGATCACAAAAGACAAAGAAATAATTTTGATTACAGGAAATTAAAAAGCTTTTCTAGAAACAAAAATGAATCCAGCAAGAATAACAAAGGAGATTGCTGACCAGGGAAAAAAACAACTGTCAAATAATGGCCTGCTGGCCATGACATATAAGACCAAAAACCATTCCCCAGTAGATACACGTCATACGATACAAACAGTTCTCAAAAGAATTGCCAGATATTAACAACAATATGACAGACTTCTCCAAAACACTAAAAAAACAGATACAAATCAAAACAATGCCAAGGTTTCACCTCACACCCAGAAAACTGGTAAAGATGACCTATGATACAACACTGCAGGAGCTACAGAAATATAGACACTAATGTGCTGTTGGTGGAACTATGAATTAGTCCAACCACTCTGGAAAGCAATTTAGAACTATGTGAAGGTTACAAAAATATTCATATACTTTGACCCAGAGATCTCACTGCTGAGAAAATATCCCATTTAGAAAGACAAGCAGGTACCACATACACCAAAATGTTCAAAGCAGCACATTTTGTAGTAGCAAATAATTAGAAACAAAGTCAATGCCACTGACTTGAGAATGGCTAAACCAATTGTGGTATATGAATGTAATAGGATAAGACTGCAGCATAAGAAACAATAGATATGAAGAATACTGAAAAGCATAAGAAAATTGATAAATTCTTGCAAAGAGAAATATACAGAGAAAACAAAAAACAATGACAACATCAATGAAAAGAACAAAAAAATGAAACTAAATGAAGTATAATCACAATCATCAAACTGGGCCATAAATAAAGGATGAGAAAAGGCACCTCCTTCTCCTGAACTGCATTTGTTTCCTTCTCTTTATTCTCTATTAAAGGGACAACTCTCTGGGAACTAGAGATGGGTAGAAATTTAGAAATTGAGCTGTTAGAAAAATAAAAAATATCAGCAACTTTTTTTTTAAGAAAGGCAAGCTACAGTCATCTGGAAACTTTACTTATGAGGAATGTTTTGCTCTTTGTAAATTCTAAATTAGAGAGATGTTTCTAGGGACATTCACTGGGTAGAAACCACATCCAGCTCTATAATTCTACAAAAAAATTAGCTGACATTTATATAGCAAGCTAAGTTTTGCAAAGTGGTTTACATACATCGTCACATTTAATCTTTCCCTGCTATTATTCTGACTTTTCAGACCTAATTGCTACAATGATGCCTTTTCATCCAGGAATTTCCCTCAACACCTAGGGCTTTCTCATTCAGGAACAATCCTCCACTGCGCCAACCCCCTCCTCCCACTGGGGATTTCCTTCTAGAAATGACCCTATGGTCAAGCTTTACTCCCCTCCCAGATGTGTTTCTGACTCTTTGGACTTTGCCATCATACCCTCATATCTATACCTTCCACTACATACATTTCCCACTTCAGCTCTCTTTTTATGTCTTTCCACATTAGAATATAAATCCCATAAAGGGAAGAACTTTTTAAAAAATTGTATTTGTAACTCTAACATTTAGTACAGTGCTTGGCACATAGCCCCTGATTAATAACTGCTGGTTGTCTTGCCTGGCCTACAAGATAAGTCCTGTAGATATCATCTCCATGCTATAAATAAGGAAACTGAGGCATAAGGAGATTATCTAATTTTCCTAAGGTCACACTGCCAATGTCAGAGGAAGAATTTGAGTCCACATCATTAAGACCATCATTCTTTGCATTATCATGCACATTAAAACATCAGGGTGCATAATGTAAGATAGATAATGCCACATACCATATAAATATAAAACACAGAAATCACTAATAAATATAATACTTAACCACAATTAGTACCTATTGGAAATGTAGAATCCTCAGACTAATGGGTGAATATGCTTTCAGGTTAATTTACTGATTATCTTTCTCTGCACAAAAGCACTTAAAAAATAGTTGAGTGGGGGCAGCTAGGTGGCGCAGTGGATAGAGCACTGGTTCTGGAGTCAGGAGGACCTGAGTTCAAATCCAGCCTCAGACACATAAAAACTCATTAGCTGTGTGACTGTGGGCAAGTCACTTAACCCCAATTGCCTCTCTAAAAAAAAAAAAACAAAAAAAAGGCTGAGTGGAATACAGCTTTTAAAAAAATTTTCCAAAGTCACATGTCTACTAGATCACTTTTCTCTACTCAAAAACCATTTTAGTTGTGAAAATGCAACATGGTTTTAAGTTATTAGTAATACTATCCCCAAAAGCCACAGAATAGGAGAATGCTAAAACAGAAAAGGGATCTTTTTTTCTCTGTAAGACACTATATATACTACAGTGGTCACAATACAATTTAATTCACTATCCTTATGCAAATTTTAAAAATTATTCCATCACACAGTTATTCAATTTTAGAGAAATGGAGCAAAATACATGAATTACTTGGGAAAAAATTAAAAACACTGAACTTAAAAATATCAATACCACAGAGGAAGCTGGAGGAAGAGGGGGCAACATAAATTTGGAAAAGAAAGTAATATTAAAAACAAAATATATCAACAAAAATAATATTTTTTAAAGGAATAGAAGGGGGAAAACTTACTAAGAACTCTAAAGTCAGTAATAAGAAATTATTTAAATATAGCAATAGGTAGAAACTGGTTTAAGAATCAATGTAAGCACCTGAAGACTAGATTCAAAGGATACAATCAAAGATGGAAAAGTTATAGTATTCTTCACCAGGAGTCTGATTTGAGGTCTGATAAGAATTTGAGATTATCTAGGGTCAGGCAGGTTAAGAAATGTTAATCTTTCTTCTTTCTCAACCCTTTTTCATTCTTCCTCTAGCTTTCTCTCTCCCCTTTCTACTAAAACATTTGCTCTCTTCTTTCTTCTGAATTTCTTCTTTCTTAACTGGGTCCTGTTACAGAACTGAAACACTTACTAAAGTCTTAATCATCTTCATTCTTAATTTTTAAAGTCTGTCTGGAGAAAAAATGGCTCTCTTAAACTTGTATTAATTTAACTTACTTATATTTGTGAGGAAGTTAGGGGACTGGCATTCATAAAAGAGAGTTTAATTGACTTACCTGAAATCGCAAATTGAATCAGTGGCAAAATTAAGAAAGTAATATAAATTAGACTCTATGCTAGGTGCCAAAGAAACAAAGACAAAAAAAATCTGTTGTTCTCAAGCAGCTTATACTCTACTGTGGAATTCAACACATACATAGATAAGTATACCTAAGGCAATTTGAGGGGGGAAAGAACATTAACAACTGGGAACCAGAGAAATCAGGGAAACTTCAAAGAAATTACAGCAGGTAAGTTCAGTCTTGAAGGACAATTAAGATTCAGAAAGGCAGCGATGACAAGAAAACATTTGGGTTAGCCTGATTAAATGAAATATGTAAAGGACTTATCTCCTAACCTCATACTCTAATAATCCATCATACTTCAGGTCCCCAACAACCCTAATTAGCAATACAATCCTTAAGACATTTGTGTTTTACTTACTTCCAACTTAGTATATTCGTTGTGACATGCATGATATTTCAAATGCCACTCTATGGTAAAATTCACAGGTTCAGGACAGCTGAATGCCTTAACTGTTCAGAAAGAAAGAATCTCATTTTAAATTAAAAATATAAATTACAAACTCAAACTTAGTATTTTTTCAGAAATTTTGAAGTGTTTAATGTTTTGCCTTAATAAAATCAATTTATTCAGTCAAAAAAAAGTAAATAGCTTCAAGAAAACATTACAAAAACTTACACGCTGCTAACGCATACTGTTAAGTCCAATGTGATAGTCAGGTACCACTTGTTATAAGGATACCTATTTGATCCAACAAGTCTTATATCATCCCATAATAATTTTCTATGTTCTCTTCTATACAGACACAGGTAGTGTGGCAGAAAACACAAAGCTCCTTCATTTATTGCTTCTTTTCCACTGAGGGAAAAAAAATGACTAAGTCTTTATAGATAAATACATAATAGAAGATTACAATCCAAGCATCCTGGCTGAAAGGAACCTTAGAGATTATCTAGTTCTTCATTTTACAGGTGAAAAAACAGAGATAAGTGACCTATCCAACATCCCACAGCTAGCTAATGTCAAGGCTGAGACTAGAATCCAGTTTTCCTTATTCTCAGTCTGGACAAATGTCCAGATTGGGGCTTTGCCTTGCTGCCTCTCCTAACAATAAGTAATTGAAAGGAGAACACAAGTTGAAAAAAAAAAAGTCATCTCTGATTTTTTTCAGATGATGAGATTATGACTGGGGGAACTATGTGATTCTGGGAAAAATTCAGCCATGCAAATAAGATTTCCAACAAAATTAAAACATTATAAAGTTACTGGAAAAAAAACGGTTTTAGTAAAAAGGTCATTCCCCTCACTGTTATACTTACTTTTAAGCTTGATCTCAGTAGAATTAAACATGGTTTTCCTAAATATTAATGGTCTTGATCCCTACATGGAAAAAACAAAAGTTACATCCTAAAGATATTTAAAGAGTTTATTATTTAAACTTTTCCTTCACTACTTAAAATTAAAGCATCTTTATGTTGCTACAGAACATATACAAAGCTGTAATTAGTAAACAGGCAAATAAGTGATCAGGAAATAAATACAGAAAAGATGGCTGCCTTGGTAGCTGTTCAGAGACAAAATTCAATTAATCAACAATCATTAAGAGCCTAGACACTGTGCAAAGATGCTGCAAATTCAATTGTTTACCAGTTAACAGTAAGTCACAGCCCTAAGCACAAATGAGGAGAGACCCATTTGTGAAGAAGCATAGTTTATCAATCCAATTCTCCAACCCTCAGGGCATGTTCTAAAAAACTTTCTAGAGTAAAAGCCCATCTCCTTAACTAATCTGATTCTTAATAAATGTTGATAACAAACTGAATTTTCCTTCTTTTTCAATAGGCAAGGGTGGCACAGTGGAGCCACATGAACCTGTGCAAGTTAATCAATGTGTCAATCCTAGCTTCATCATTTGTGACATGTGACCTGCAGTACCCCCTTCAAAGGATCCTTGTACAAGGCTTTGCATGTAAAAGGCTTTGCAAATTTTAAAGCATCAAATGTTATTTTTTCCATGAAGCCTTAAGAGAAATCATACAGAGTACACTTTAATTGTATACCACCCAATACATATATATATATACACACACACACACACACACACACACACACACATTATCTAATACCCTGACAATGTGCAAATTTTCTGCTCATCATTTTATGTGCTTGCCTTATTGAGCATTAGCATATAAATTGAAAGGAAGGGTATGGGTTATCTTTTTCATCATAAAGCCTAGCACGACAATCTTGGTTTTTTACAAGTCTACGCCAACAAACAACAACCTGTGTGCCAGGTCTTGCAAAGTTGGAAAGGCCTTCAAGTGTGACCTGGTAAAAAGTTAATGTAGCTCAATCTAAAGAAGCCATTCACCTACCAAAATCAGAACTAAAATCTTTTTTGTAAATTGTGAAGCTAAGGATAGGCAAGGAGCTTTACTGCTGCACACTTCCATCCCTCTTCAAGAAGGAGTTACCATATTACAATCCTTTATTTTAGCTTCCATTAGTTTAGCAGCATAAGAATATTTTATTATCCAGTCTGCTCACAAAATTGTGTTTATTTAAAAAGGAAAGGTGGTGAGGATTTGAAAGGGAGCAGCATGTGGGGGACAAAATACTAAGAAAAATCTTTTCTTCAAACACACTCCCCCATTTCAATCTCTAATTTTAACAGGGAATAACGTTTCATCAATCACAATCCTAAAACCACTGGAGATTTGGAGTCAGCGGGTCCAAGTTCTGACTTGGTCCTGTCATGTTCTGACGTTACTTACCCAGTCTGGGCCTCAGTTTCCTAATCCATAAAAGGAGGGGGTTACACTGGATCTCTACTATCACAGCTCTAAATCTTTGATTAGAAGGTTATCTGACAAATGATGAAATATGTGTCCAGAGCAATTCAAGAAGTCATTTATTAAGGGGCAGCTAGGTGGTGCAGTGGATAGAGCACCAGCCCTGCATTCAGGAGGACCTGAATTCAAATGCGGCCCCAGACACATAATACTTACTAGCTGTGTGACCCTGGGCAAGTCACTTAACCCCACTGCCTAAAACCAAAAAACAAACCAAAAAAACCCCTCCTAGATTCCTCAAAATCTGGCAATACGGCAGATCTTTAATAAACCATGTTTTGGCTGAAAGAAGGCTTTGGTCAAATTCTTTCGGGGAGGACCTGAGTGTCCTGATTTCAGGGTCCCAGCACCCCTAAACCTCTAGACCTCATCAGGGGGATGTAAAAATTCACTTAAGAATCTCAAGTGCTACTTCCGCTTCCGGGAACCAAGATGGCAGAGTAAAAAGGTAGTCACTCTCACCCTCCCCTACCAACCTCTGAAAACCCACAAAATATCACCTCAGGAAAAAAAACCCTGAACAGCTGAACTGGAAGAAAGACAGCGAACAGCAGTGCAGCAGCAAACAAGTCTCCCAGTGCCTCAGCAAAAATAAGGGAAGCAGCACTACAAAGGGCCCCAGGCAGATAAGCACCCTGCAGCATTCACCTGAAAGGAGCTGAAGAAAGCAACCTAGAGTCTTCCTGAAGTCCCAGCCTTGCTGATTCCAACCCAACACCAGGTAAGCTGTCAGAACCCTACAGCCTCCAAATGTCAACCAGGAAGAGATCCTGAAGCCCAGGTGGTTGAGCAGGCAAACACCAACACCTGGACCTCCTAGTGCCTCAGTGAGGGCAGGGGAACCAGTGGAAACCAGCTCAGAAAACCACCAGCTGCCTCAGCACTCTACCGCAAAGGAATCTCCCAGTGCATTAGCAAAAATGAGGGAGGCAGCATTGCAAGGGGCCCCAGGCAGATAAACACCCTGCAATACCAATCTAAAAGAAGCTGAAGAAAGCTAAAGGAAAGGAAAAGCAGGCAGCCTAGCATTGCCTCAAAGTTCCAGCCTTGCTGATTCCAGCCCAACAGGAAGTAAGCTGCCAAAACCCTGCAGCCTCCAATTGCCATAAGAGGCCCCAGCACACAAAGCCAGTGACCAAGACCTAGGTTCCCAACACCAAAAGCTTGGGTCAGTGCCCTCTGTTCCCCAGCAGGAGAGCTCAATCTCTTTAAAGGCCAGGGAATAAAGAAACACCATGAGTAAAAAGAAATGTACCATAGATTCATATTATGAGAAGAGTGAAGATCAAGACAGAAATTCTGAAGAGGACAACATTGTCAACAAACCCACATCTGCAACATCAAAAAATATGAACTGGTCTGAAGCCCAAAAAGCCTTCTTAGAAGAGCTCAAGAAGGATTTTAAAAGTCAAATGAGAGAGGTAGAAGAGTCCTTAAAAAATACAATTGGCCAATTGGAAAAAAAGTACACTGAAGAAAACAAATCCCTTAAAAAAATTGGCCAACTGAAGAAGGAAGTACAAAAACTAACAGAAAAAACAATCTGTTAAAAACTAGAATTGGACAAATGGAAACTAATGACTCTATGAGAGAGCAAGAATCAGTCAAACAGAAACAAAAAAAGTGAAAATGTAAAATACCTCACTGGTAAAACAACCGACCTGGAAAATCAATCCAGGAGAGACAATTTAAAAATCACTGGACTACCTGAAAATCATGATGAAAAAAAGAGCCTGGACAGTATCTTTCAGGAAATCATAAAGGAAAACTGCCCTGAAGTCCTAGAACCAGAAGGTAAAATAACCATAGAAAGAATATACAGCTCACCACCTGAAAGAGATCCCAAATTGACAACGCCAAGGAATATAATAGCAAAATTCCAAAATTACCAGATGAAAGAGAAGGTGCTGCAAGCAGCCAGAAAGAAACAATTTAAATATCATGGAACCACAGTCAGGATTACACAGGACCTTGCAGCTTCTACATTAAAAGACCACAGGGCATGGAACATGATATTCCATAAGGCAAAGGAGCTTGGACTGCAGCCAAGGATCAACTACCCTGCAAAAATGAGCATGATTTTTCAAGGGAGATGGATATTCAATGAAATAGGGGACTTCCAAACCTTCCTGATAAAAAGACCAGAGCTCAACAAAAAATTTGATCTTCAAGTACAAGATTCAAGAAAGACATAAAAAGGTAAATGGGACAGAAAGATACAAAATGTTGTTAATAAGGGCAGACTGTTTACATCCCTACAAGGGAAGATGACACTTGCAACTCTTGAGAACTGTATTGTTATTACACCATGTTAAAGGAGTATATATAAAGGGGTGGATATTAGTTGACTTTGATGTAATGATAAAAAAAATCTAATCAAGTGGGTTAAATGGATCCAAGTAAGTGGATTAATCTGATCTTAGAAAATGTACTGAGAAAGGAGGAGGCAGACAAGGGTAAATTACATTACAGGAAAAGACAGAAAATCCTATTACAGCAGAGGGAAAGAAGGGAGGGGGGTGAGCATTGTTTGAACCTTACTCTCATCAGATTTGGCTCAAGAAGGGAATAACATAATCAGTTAGGTATAGAAATCTAACTTGCCCTATAGGCAGTAGGAGGGAAAAGGGGAAAGAAAGAAAAGGGAGGGGGGATAGAAGGGAGGGAAGAATCAGTAAGGGCAAAGGGGAAGAAAACGGAAAAGGATAATAGAAGGGAGGAGAGACTGAAGGAGGCGGTGGTCAAAAGCAAAAGACTAATGAGGGGAGGAAAGGAGAAAGAAAAGCATAAACGGGGGAAAAAGGATGGAGAAAAAGATACAAATAGTAATCATAACTGTGAATGTGAATTTTTTTTTCTCTTCTATTGAGTTTTGTTTCCTCTTTCTGATGGTTCCTCCTACTGGTTTTAATTTTTACTTACAACTTCCCTAATGTGAAAATATGTATTATTAAAGCCCTACATTAGCTATTACTGTTTTGGGCAGAGATACACCTCCAAACAGATGTCTAGACAGTTAAAATCCTCCATCCCTATTTATCTGATGGCTCCATTTGTTGTTTGAATTCCAAACATGCACTTGCCTAAAAGACTATTTTATGGGCAAGGTTTATAGGGCAAGTATTCACATGGTGGTCAGAAGAAGTGATACAAGGTCACTTTCAAGGTCTCTCTGAAGAACTTCGGAATAAGAGAAACACTGGGACAGGACTGTGCAGCATGGTGTGCCTTCATCAGAGAAGGTGCTGTGCTCTATGAGCCAAGCAGAATTGAAGTAGCTCAAAGGAAATGAGAGATGCACAAATTTAGAGAATCCACTCCAAATGTTCACATGGACTATTTGTGCCCAACCTGTGGTAGAGCATTCTGACCTCGTATTGGTCTGATCAGCCACAGTCGGACACACTGTAACTTGACTCTAGCACAGTGATGTCATCTGGTCTTCTTCAAGAATGAAGGACAACCACCAATCTGTTTCCCAAACTAATCTATATTCTCCTGTTCTTGCCTCCACTGATCTTCACCCAAACGTCCTGTACCATACATTACCCTTCTAGCTCCTAGATTTACTTAAATATGTCCTCTTAATATATGTGTTGTACCTACTCTCCCACCCAAATTCCTGCCTATCCTGTTTCAGTTGAATAGGAAATATTGTAATACCTTTTCAAATCCATATTCTAGTCAAAGGTTCTATCCCATACATCAGTGATACCTTTGATATCAAATGTTTCTCCTTATGTTAGGATCTCTAATTTGCCTTTTTTGTTATCACTACTTTGGGCATATGTATATGTACACGTAAGGCATCAGTTTTATAGGGGCTTTCATTTTTTTTTAAGTATTATGCATGAGTTTTATTGCTGCTTCTTTTGCAGATTTTGCTTCTTGTGAGCTTCTGGACATCTCTACGGCTATTATTCTTCCTATAAATGTAGCTTTCATCTGTGGTATAGCTGTTTTAGAGTGAGGAGAGCTGGTAGATAAAAGAACTGGACTAAGGGCCAAGGATTTCTTGATTGCTCTGTAATGGCAGTCTCTGTATCTTCTATCAAGGAGTCATTAATCACTGCTACAAATTGTTTTCTTCCCAGACTGAATGAGCTCACATCTATTTCAATCTTTGAACCCACAGCACCATCCCTTGGAGGCCAAATAGCTGTTTTAACCTTAAAAGAGCCTCCCTATTCAGGAGGCACCTCATATCTAATGTTCAGCCACAAATGATCCTTCAGCTCCTTCAGTGATCCTTCTTCCTTTTTTTTGTGACTGTATACTTCATTAGTATTAAATTACTTCTGACCCTATTTCTAATTTGTTATATAAATGACAAAACTTAGCACAATGAAGAACAGGAATTTATTTTTCCCTCAAAGTTCAATGGCAAATTAATACCCTACTTTAAGAATTCATTACTTAGGTTTATAAGAAGTAATTAACTAGGAAGTAAGTGGTGCTCTATACTTAACAAAGTTTATGATTCTATAGAAACACTGCAGAGGCAGATGAAAAATAGAAATAGAGTACTCATGAGCCATTTTCCTTCCTCCTCTCTAATGCAATGATAACTCTATTTTTCTCTGATAGCTTTAAGCAGTAAGAAAGTCTTCTAACTTCTAGAAGTATATTCAAACTTTAGCTGAGGATATTGCTATCACTTTCAGAGCTTGGTGAGATCAAGTCAAAACATCACATTAATGCATCTCCCACAAAGAGAATACTACTGTCATCAAACCACTAAATCAGTCATTTGATTCAGGAAAATCGAGAGATAACTATCTTTTCTTCCTGCCCTGTCTGCTTCTCTTCTGAAATAATTTCCCATAATTCTACCCCTTCCTTTCTCAACTATTTTATAATCACTACCCTCCTACACATTTCCTATCCCTATGTATTTTTTCATGGTGTTCACTTGCAGAGAACATCTTCACCTACTCATCCTACAATTTAACCCTAACTTTCAAACTCTCCCCAAAACCTTTTCCCATACTTTTGTATATTCTGAAAGAGTGATATGGTCACAATCTATAAGTAAATTGTACATTGATTAAAAGTCAGTCAACAATCACATTTAACTGTGTGCCAGACACTAAACAAAATACACAAGTAAATTAATTCATAGTCCTACCAGTTCAAATCCCTCAGATTTATCATCTGTGTGGCCTGCAGCAAGTCATTTCACTGGACCTCAATGTCCTCATCTGTAAAATGACGAGGTTAGACTGGATGTCTTCCAAGAACCTTTCCAGCTTTAAATCTATGATCCTAAAACTCCCAGAGAACTCCCACCACTAACCTATGATTTAGTAAATAATTCCTAAGGAATCACTTAAAGAGGTCAAGTAAATGGGGCAGCTAAGTGGTGCAATGGATAGAGCACAGGCCCTGGAGTAAGGGGGACCTGAGTTCAAATTCGGCCCCAGACACATAACACTCACTACCTGTGTGACTCTGGGCAAAGTCACAACCCCAATTTCCTTACCAAAAAAAAAAAAAGAAAGAAAAAGAGGTCAAGTAACTTCCTATAGGCACTATAGTACAATGCTAGATTTGCATTGTACTATAGTACAATGAACCTAGGTTCAAATCCCAGTTCCACTACCTGTATGACCTTGGGAAAGTCACTTAAACTCTGTCTCAGTGAATCACCTGTAAGATTAAGGAACTGAATTAGATGGCCTTAGGATCCCTTCCAATTCTAAATCTATGACCCTATCATCTGTTTAGGGTCACAAAGTTATGCATTAGCAGCTTGACATGCCTAGCCTTCTAACTGGAGGTATCCCTGCATCAAGTCTCTCATCATTACAATTCATCTTCAGCTTCAAAAGTCATTTATCTAGAGTCTGCCCAGGTCACACTCTCTCTACTCTCCCATCGCCTGCTCCAGTGGCTCCCTATTACCTCCAGAATCAAATAAAAAATCCTCTGTCATTTAAAGATCTTCCTAACCTGGATCCATCCTACCCTTCCAGTGTTCTTACCCTTTAAAATAAATCACTGTTCAGTCATGTCCAACTCTTCATAACCCCTGTATGAGGTTTTCTTGGCAAAAATACTGTGGTTTGCCATTTCCTTCTCCAGTGGATTAAAGCAAATAAAGGTTAAGTGACTTGCCCAGGATCACAAAGTTAGTATCTGAGGCCAAATTGAACTCAGGTTTTCCTGACTCCAGGCCCACAGCTCTATTCACTGAATCACCTAGCTACCTTTTCCTACACTTTACTCCACTCCCTATACTCTAAAATCCAGCTCCCCTGGCCTAAGTACTGGCAGTGTGTCAAACAAGACATTTCATCCTCTATCTCTGTTCCTCTGTACTGGCTGCTCCCCATGCCTGGAACACTCTGCCCCCTCACCTCCATCTCCTTTGCCTTCCTTCAAGACTCCACCTTCTGCAGAAGGCCTTTCTGGGCTCCCCTAAGCTGCTAAAGCCTTCCCTTTTAAATTACCTTCTATCTAGTTGGTATACTTCTTATATACATATACAGGTACTATAAGGACTTAGTTATTTGCATGTTGTGTCCCCCATTCGAATTCGAGCTCCTTGATGGGCAAGGAGCTAGGGGCTGGGTTTGGTGTTTTGCTTTTCTTGATGTCTCCAGCACTTAGCACACAGTGACTGGGGCAAAGTAAGCTCTCTATAGGTAAATAAATGCTGGTTGGCTGCCAGAAGCTAGGTTTGAATACATCTTCCTGAATCCAAGCCCAGCATTCTGCAAAAAACCAAACAAAACCCCTCCTATTGCCTTGCTGTCCCTGACCGTGGCAGGCAAGGAGGCTTTAAAGCCCAGGCCAGGGGTGTGTCGTCCTCTTCGCCCAGTTTCGTAGCAAAAGCCGCTGCCCCCTCCAGACGCAGCTCAGAGACCCCGAGGTGCAGGTGGGCGATGGGGGAGTCCGGGGCACGTCGGCCCCTCTCACACCACACTCACCCGCCCGGGTCCGAGGGGGAGGGCTCCGGTCTATCCCCGCCCGTCGGTCCAAGGGCGAGCCCCCACTAGGAGGCCTTGGCCTTGACGTTAGAAGAAGGGGAAGGGAGGGACTGGGTTGAGCGCCGGCGGCCCGAAGGGTGCCGCATCCGGCCCCGGGCTTCGCCTCCCGGAGACGCCACTTACGTTGCTGACAGTCACTGCCCAGCTCCCTGGCTCCGGGGCGGCCCCCGCGCTCCCGCACAGCCAGCAGAGGACGAAGGGGAGCAGCGGAGGCGCGCTGCGGTGGCCGGGCGGCGGCCGGTGGGGCGAGCGGCGGCGGCGGCGGAGGGCTCGGGGGCCGCCGCTGGCCGGCTCAGGCTCGGGGAGCCGCTGGCCCCGGTGTCGGCAGGCGGCGGCCATGTTGATGCAGAGACCTCACCTGCTACCCGCGTGACGCCCGCTCCTCCCCCTGACCCCGCCCCCCTCGGGCCCTTACCTGCCACGCGGCGGCCCCGCCCCTTGACCCGCCCGCCCTCTTCTGGCGCCAGACTGGAGAGAAGGCGAAGTGGGCGGAGGGAGACGGAGGGGGCGAGGGGATGCCGGGGCGCGGGGGCGCGGGGGCGCGGGGGCGAAGGGGGCAAGGGGCGGAAGCTGCGGGCCGGAGAGCCAGCTGGGGACGGAGGCCGGGAGGAAAGCGTGGTCCGTGAGGGCCGGACTTGCACTAGGCCCCGGCCCGGCATGCGGACCCTCTAGGTGAGGTTTCTAAACTGGATGACGGACGGGGGTGAGATTCTAAGAAACTATCAAGATGGGAGTGAGTAGACACAGAAGACCCCAGATGGCCTCCCCAGAGTACGAAGAAGGCCCGGCCCGGAGGGACGCGATTTGTGTGGCCGGACAGCGGGAGCGGCGAGCCGAAAAGTCCGAGTGCGGGTTCAGGCGGTCAGAGCTTGGTTGTAAAAGCTCAGTAGTAAACTGTTAAAGCTTAAAACCAAGCTCAGACTTGTGCGACAAGCCGGTGGAGTGTTTATGTCTCTCTGCCTCTAGATTGAAAATGGGACAACAGTGGTGGTAGTAGTAGTATGGCTCAGTGTCTCTAGATAGATAAAATTGGGACGCCAATAGTAGTAGTAAAAGTAATGATAATAATAAAGTGGTTTTCCAGCTAGCACTCAGAATTTGCAAGAAGCAAAGAATTGGAATCAGGTCCGGTGTCTGGGACTCCTGCGTCACCACTTCTGTATTTGCTTAAAGAAAAAAAAAACCTGCTGCTTCCTAAACGGAGAGTCTTACCCCAACATTAAAACTTTGAATTTCAGTATGGATTTTGAGGAAACATGGCCAATGATTGAAAGTGGTACCGGGTGAAGAAGAGCAGACAGTAAAAATGGTGATTGCTGGGGGGCATGAATGACATGAATGGTGACCACAGTGGTACAAGAACTGAAAAGGGAAAGGTTAGAAAGCAGAACTTAAACTCAGCAAGCATTTTAAGTGCCATCTACTATGCCAAGGTACTGGTAGGAGCTGGGGAGAAAAAGATAAAAGGAAAAACCAGTCATTAATACCTCTATAAGATTGATTTTAGATTTTTTGGTAAAATTTGCTTTTTGTTGTTTTTGCAGGACTGAGTATTTGAATAAGTGCAAAAACATCATGTAAATGTGTGTTAGTAAGAAGGGTTAATTGCACCCTTATAAACAAATAGCTGAACTTAACATGTAGGCCCCCCCACCCTTCCTCCACCAGAAAACTGTAGCTTGACTTCCCATCTATCTACCTTTCTTGCTTCCTGTCTACCCTATTTTTCTTTCTTTCTTTAGTATATATTTATTTTTAGTTTTCAACATTTACTTCCATAAGATTTTGAATTCCAAATTTTCACCCCATCTCGCCCCTTCCCCCACCCCAAGATGGCATGCATTCTGAATACCTTTTCCCCTAGTCTGCCCTCCCTTCTATCTCTTCCCCCCCCTTCTCTTATCCCCTTCCCCTTCTATTTTCCCATAGGGCAGGACAGATTTCTGTACCCCATTTCCTGTACTTCTTATTTCCAAGTTGCATGTAAAAACATTTTTTTAAACATGTGTTTTTAAAACTTTGGGTTCAAATTTTCTCCCTTCCTCCCTCCTCACCCATCCTCATTGAAAAGGCAAGCAACTCAATGCAGTCCATATGCAGGAAGTTATGCAAAATACTTCCATAGTAGACATGTTGTGAAAAACTAACTCTATTTCCCTTAATCCTATCCTGCCCCCCCATTTATTGTATTCTTTCTTTTGACCCTGTCCCTCCTCAGAAGTATTTGTTTCTGATTACCCCTTTCCCAATCTGCCCTCCTCTCTATCATTCCCCTGCTCTCTTGTCCCCTTCCCCCCCTGTTTTCCTGTAGGGTAAGACAGATTTCCATACCCAATTGAGTGTGTATGTTATTCCCTCCTTAAGCCAAATCTATGAGAATAAGATTCATTCATTCCCTCTCACCTTCTCCCTTCCCCTCCACTGTAAGAGCCTTTTCTTATTTGTTTTGTGTGAGATAATTTACCCCATTCTACCTCTCCCTTTCTCCTCCTAGTATAATCCTCTCACCCTTTAATTTTATTCTCCAGATATGACCCCTTCATCTTCAACTCACCCTGTGCCCTCTATCTATCTATACACATGTATTTTTTTTCCCTCCAACTACCCTAATACTGACAAAGGTTTCGTGAGTTATAAATGTCATCTTTCCATGCAGGAATATAAACAGTTCAACCTTAATATGTCTCTTATGATTTCTCTTTCCTATTTACCTCTTCGTGTTCCACTTGAGTCTTGTGTTTGAAAGTCAAATTTTCTATTCAGCTCTGGTCTTTTCATCAAGAATACTTGAAAGTCCTCTATTTCACTGAATGACTATTTTTTCCCCTGAAGGATTATACTCAGTTTTTCTGGGTAGGTGATTCTTGATTGTAATTCTATCTCCTTTGCCCTCTGAATATTATATTCCATGCCCTGCGTCCTTTAATGTAGAAGCTGCTAAATCTTGTGTTATCCTGATTGTGTTTCCACAGTACTTGAATTGTTTCTTTCTGGCTGAGCTTGTATTTTCTCCTTGACCTGGGATCTCTGGAATTTGGCTACAATATTCCTAGGAGTTTTCCTTTGGGGATCCCTTTCAGGAGGAGATCAGTGGATTCTTTCAATTTCTCTTTTGCCCTCTGGTTCTAAAATATCGGGGCAGTTTTCCTTGATAATTTCTTGAAAGATGATGTCTAGGCTCTTTTTTTGATCATGGCTTTCAGATAGTCCAATAATTTTTAAATTCTCTCTCCTGGATCTATTTTCCAGGTCAGTTGTTTTTCCAATGAGATATTTCACATTGTTTTCTAATTTTTCATTCTTTTGGATTTGTTTTACAGTGTCTTGATTTCTCATAAAGTCACTAGCTTCCAATTGCTCTATTCTAATTTTTAAGGAAGTATTTTCTTCAGTAATCTTTTGGACTTCCTTTTCCATTTGGCCAATTTTGTTTTTTTGGGCATTCCTTTCTTTTTGGACCTCTTTTGCCATTTGTGTTAGGCTGTTTTTTAAGGTGTTTTTTTTCAGTATTTTTTTGGGTCTCCTTTAGCAAGCTGTTGACTTGTTTTTCATGATTTTCTTGCATCACTCTCATTTCTCTTCCCAGTTTTTCCTCTACTTCTTTGCTTCTCAAAATCCCTTTTGAGCTCTTCCAAGGCCTGGGACTGATTCATATTTTTCTTGGAGGCTTTGGATGTAGGAGCTTTGACTTTGTTGTCTTCTTCTGGTTGTATATTTTGATCTTCTTTGTCACCAAAGATAATATAGTCTGACTCTTTTTGCGCTGCTTGCTCATGATCCCAGCCAATTACTTGAGTTTTAAACTCTTTGTTAAGGTAAGAGTCTGCTTCCAATGTGGAGAATGTACTGTCCCAAGCTTCAGGGGTTTATACAGCTGTTTTCAGAGATACTTGTAGGGACCTGTAAATTTTCAGTTCTTGCGAGGTGGTATGATAAGGGGCAAGGTGTCTACTCTTTTCCTGGCCTGTGCTCTGGTCTGAGTGACCACAGCACTCCTTTCTGTCCTAGAACTGTGAAGAAGGTTTCTTTCCACAGCCACTACAAGCTCTACCACACCAGCGCTCCTCCTAGCCCCAGGACCACCGCCCAGAACTATGACCCCGATCCAAGCACGGGCAAAGCAAGAGATTCCTGCCTCGGCACTGGCAAATAGATCCCTGAAATCCCCCTCTGATCAGCCACTGGATTCCCCCTCAGTCTGTGGGCCAGAAGCTCAGGATGCAGCCACTGTCCAGGGGCCAAGCTCCTCAGGGAATGGGGCTGAGACCCTGAGCTTCTCTCACCGCAAAAACGGCCTTTTCCCACTGATCTTGTAAGTTGCCTTTGGTGTTCGTGGGTTCAGAAGTCTGCAAACTGCCACAACTGCCCGCGATTTCAGTACACCAAGGCCTGCTCCAGGGTTGCTGCAGTCTGCGCACCCATGCTAAACTGCACTCCTCTCCTCCCCCCTGCGTGATATGCCTTTCTGATCAACCATCCAGGTTATCTTGGGCTGGAAATTTGTTTCACTCTGTCTTTTTGTGGGTTCTGCTGCTTTAGAATTTGTTCAGAGCCATTTTTTTACAGGTATAGGAAGGGGTTTGGGGGAGAGCTCAAGCAAGTCACTGCTTTCACCCATTTTTCCCTATGTCTTTCTTCATCCACCCACTGATTTCATTCACTCCTTACTCCATGGCAAGGCTAATCCCTCCATCCCTACTCAAGATCCATCTCCTTCATCAACTATCCCCTCTTCCCTTTCCAAAGGCTACTTCCTCTCAGCCTAAAAGGTCTTTCTTATTTATTCTTTCATTAGTTGGTTTGCTTACTTGCTTGTTTATTTATTTATGTCTGGTTGTCTGATTTCATTGGTATAATGGATCCTAGGTGTAGAAACTCTTTCTACTGGTGTAGCTGGGCAACTCATCTGTAATTTATAGTTTAAGAGAGTTGCCTGAGCAGTTTGTCCATAGAACCAGTTGCTTGTATGTGTCAGAGGCAGGACTTGAACCCAGGTCTTCCTGATTCCAATGCTGGCCCTCTGTCCACTCATTATGCTCTTTCTCTAATATTTAAATAATAAAGACAAAAACCTCTTTTGACCTGGCTACCAGAACTGGTTCTCATTCTTTCTTTCACAGACTGCTTTCCCTTTACCACCAGGCATCCTGAGAGTAGTTAGTATCTCTTAGTTTTGTCCACTAACAAATCATTTTCTGTTTAAACTCTTGTATTCTGACTTCTACCAAAATCATTTTAACAAAACTTCCATCTTAAAATATGATCAATTCAGTTCATCAAATGTTTATTATATCAACAATGAGCAAAGCATATTCTACCAATAGCAGCCTTTTTAATTT